GCGACTACAATGCGACCATTTAATTTAGCGACCGTTTTTTAGCGACCAACTTTAGTAGTCGCAAAGAAGTCGCAAACAACGATTAGCGACCGTTTAAGGACTCGTTTGGGAGTCGCAAAAGACATGTTTTCTTGTAGTGTTCCCTATCAATTAAACGCTGCCATTCACAAAATATTTGAACACTTCTAGAATATTTGAAGAAGTTCAATATTTGAACACTTCTAGTATAAGTTTTTCTTATCCATATCCACAAAGAAATATTCACATTCTACAAGTTAGACTTATTGCCCATGATTCATTTGTAAACTATATATATATATATTTTTGAACACTTCTAGAATATAAGTTTTTCTCATTCATCATATCCCCAAAGAAATATTCACATTCTATATATTTAGAGCCGGCCAAGAGTACAAGCCAGCCAAGCTGCTGCTTGCGGCCGTCAAATGTTTATATATTAAATTGGCCATTTTTTTCTGTGAAAAGTCGTTAGTTCTGTTGGAAACGTACTACTCATTGCGGTAAATGGTCGCAGGTGCGAGACACCAGCAGATGACGATGTTTTTTTTTTCTTTTTTTTCCAAGGGAAATTCAGCCAAAAAAAATTTCTGCTTGTAGCCACCAAAACATTAGGAAAGGCTCTGTATATGTTAGACTAATGTATGATTTATTTGTAAACTATGATGTAACCGCTCTGATTTGTTCCTCTTATGTTATTGATGAACTAGTCATTATAATTAGTGTCTTGCCAAAAAGTACCCTTCTACCTTGTTAGCATTACACATTACAAACAGTTAGTTCTCTCGAAATTGTAGTAAAAAATGTAGGAAAGCCCGTATTGGTTGACCGGTGACAGCACACTTTCACCAATCAATCCAACAAAGTATGCAACCACACCGATAACCAGGCCCGGCCCGCCACCAATTCTCAAGATACAAAATTATTGGGCCTCCAGAATTTTTAAAATTTTTAGTATCAAAATTAGACCCCAATTTTTTCTGAATATTGCAAAATACGCCCCAAATTTTCTGAAATTTTAAGATTTGATCTCAAATTTTTAATTTCTTCTATAAAATCCATCAAAAAAAAAATTGTTTTGTATTAAGCCCTATATTTCACAGGGCCGATACTGCCGATAACATCACAATTTCATGTGTACCAATCAATCCAGCAAAGTATGCCATCACTGAGACCGAGGTATACTTTGTTAGAATGATTGGCACAAATGAAATTGTGTTGTCGTGTGAACATCCACACATAGGAGGTAATATACGTAAAATATGCTAGCAATAATGTTCATGTATACAAAACACTTCATGTTGTGGTGTTCTAGTCCATAGTGCTTGACCCTCCTCACGATTTCGTGGTGGAGACACTACACTAAACCCTAGACTCCCCTATTTGGTAGAATTTTTGCGAATTCGATTTTAGGGTTTTTGCCTCTCTCGTCATCTTTCATTGATTCATTGCAACAAACCTATTTATACTACTTCCATCGTTAACCTTTTTTTTAAAAAAACTACTTATTTAACTTACTAAACCCTACGAAACCCATCTCAATATGGGCCTGACTTTATATAATGGCCCAATGGCCCTTTCCTCTTTAATTATGACTTTCTTCGTTGACTCTCCTTCTTCTTCTTTCGATGGTAAATTTGACGGAAAAAGTAAACGACGTCGTTTCTGTGAAACGCAGAGCTCTTTGCTAAACTTCTTCCGTTTTTTTTTTCTCTCCAACCACAAGGAACGATAACAAAATCATCAGATCGCCAGAAAAAAAAAAACCAATTGCGAAATGGAGAATCTCAGCTTCGAGAGATCTGCGTCAATCTCCATCTAGATGTGGCTACTTCTTCGTCTCCATAGAAGCATAATTTCATCAGATCTCGCTGATTAATCATCCGCATTTGGATCTGATTCGAAACTCCTAGGGAAGAACATGGCAGGAGCGGCCTCGGCTCTGTTTCTGCTCGATATCAAGGGACGTATTCTCGTCTGGCGTGATTACCGTGGCGATGTCTCCGCTGCTCAAGCCGAGCGATTCTTCACTAAGCTCATTGAGAAAGAGGTTTTTCTGATCTTCCTCTTATCGCTCATTGATCGGTGTTTATTGCTGAATTATTATAGAATTGGAAAGGAACAGAGAGATAGTGAACGAACTTGTAGATTTTTGTGTTTGAGATAGTCGTCAATTGGAATTGAAACATTTCGAAGCAATGAACACGCTTGATTTTCGTCTGTACTAGAAATCAAATTGATTCGTGTCCGTATTTGTGATCTGATGCTTTGGATTAGAATGTGATTTGAATCAGCATTTTGAAGAAATCAGAGTAAGATTCTTATCATTGTTTTGTTTAATTGTTCAGGGTGATTCACAGTCAAATGATCCAGTTGCTTACGATAATGGGGTTACTTATATGTTTGTACAACATAGTAATGTATACTTGATGATAGCATCCAGACAGAATTGTAATGCTGCCAGTCTTCTCTTCTTTCTTCACCGCGTAGTCGATGTAAGTAAATTCTTTTCTCTTAAGGTTCCATCTTTTTTTTCCGGGTGTTTGATGTAATGGCAATGGTTATAGGTTTTCAAGCATTACTTCGAGGAGTTAGAAGAGGAATCATTGAGGGATAACTTTGTGGTTGTGGTATGTTAAGCTTCTGTCATCGCCCTTTTAGTACTATTTGGCAATACTTGCTCAATCAAAAAGATCCTTCAAAATTCGGAATAGTATTTGTCTTTGTTAAATGCTGAAATTTATTTCTGGTGCTGGCAGTATGAGCTACTTGACGAGATGATGGACTTTGGTTACCCTCAGTATACCGAAGCAAGAATTCTCAGTGAATTCATCAAGACTGATGCATATAGAATGGAAGTTACACAGAGACCTCCAATGGCTGTGACAAATGCCGTCTCCTGGAGGAGTGAGGGAATACAGTACAAGAAAAATGAAGTGAGTGCTTTTGTTATCAAGAGAGGAATGTGTTTGTGTTGTGTTTCGGTTTGCAAATGATGACAACCTGCTCCCTTTTTCAGGTTTTCTTGGATGTAATTGAGAATGTAAATATTCTTGTCAACAGTAATGGGCAAATTGTCAGGTCTGATGTTGTTGGAGCACTGAAGATGCGAACTTACTTGACGTATGTCAACAGATCAAATTTTCAATATACCTAATCAGCCAAAGCATGTTAAATCACTTCCCTTTTGCTTTGATCACTGTCCTAGCGTTTTATTTGACTCTTTGATCCATTCTATTGTAGTGGAATGCCAGAGTGTAAGTTAGGACTGAATGATAGAGTATTGCTGGAAGCGCAGGGACGAGCAACAAAGGGAAAAGCCATTGATTTAGAGGACATCAAATTTCATCAGTACGTCTTTAACCCTTCTAGTTTCTTTTAATTCTAAAAGGTTCTATACTTGAGCTTTATGTATTCTCTTCTTCAACAATCAATTATTTAATGCAGGTGTGTTCGATTGGCCCGTTTTGAAAATGATAGGACGATATCTTTCATACCACCTGATGGGGCTTTTGATCTGATGACATATAGACTCAGTACTCAGGTTTGACATGTGGTATATAGCATTTACTGGAATTGTTCCGCGTCTTCAACAAGTAAATATCGTGATTTGTTTCTTTTATTTTCAGGTAAAGCCTCTTATATGGGTGGAAGCGCAAATAGAAAGTCATTCCAGAAGTCGTGTTGAGATGCTTATAAAAGCCAGGAGTCAGTTCAAAGAACGAAGGTAAATATATTATACGATATTGTGCCACATTTCCTTTTCTCTTTTACTGTAATGCAAAGATCCTGATGATCAGATTCTTTGAACCTTTGACCGAAAACTTTCTATTTGTAGCACCGCAACGAACGTTGAGATTGAGTTGCCTGTACCGACCGATGCATCTAACCCCACCGTTAGGACATCTCTAGGGTCTGCCTCTTATGCTCCTGAAAAAGATGCGTTAGTCTGGAAAATCAAATCTTTCCCCGGGAACAAGGTATAAACTTATAACACTAGCAAGTTTTATAACATTCTTAAATCCAGTGGAAACAATCAGCAATGTAGTATCAATGCTAACCTTCGGAAACCAATATAGGAGTACATGTTAAGGGCAGAGTTCCATCTTCCAAGTATTACTGCAGAGGAAGCAACACCTGAGCGAAAAGCTCCTATCCGTGTCAAATTCGAGATCCCTTACTTCACTGTTTCGGGGATTCAGGTAAGCTTGTGCTCAATAATAAATGGTTTCTATATTTTCTGCATTTTTTAGTTCATCCCAGTGCGTTAGTGTCTCTTCCACAATGTCATTAAATTATATGTTTTCTGGTGTGTAGGTTCGGTACCTAAAGATAATTGAGAAGAGCGGGTACCAAGCACTTCCATGGGTGAGATACATAACCATGGCTGGTGAGTACGAACTAAGACTCGTGTAAGGCTCATTTAGTTTCATCGTCTATGTCATTGTGATTCCCACATTCCTCCGGGGAATTGCCTGGATCAAATGAAGCAAAATGAAACAGGACAAAAGTAGAGAAAAACGAAAATGTTTTGAAACATTTTAGCTGATCAAATTTTCCTCTAATCTGTTTTAGAAGCCATATTCTTGTGAATTTGTCTTTATGGTGATTTTATCTTATTTTACATGAGGCTCTTTGTAACCTTCACGACATGGTTATTTTTTTGTTTCTTATGCCCGTGACATTTCTGTCTATGTGTTTGTTCTGCGATCGAAATTGTTAAACGTTGAGGTTTTGGTTTTGGGGCATCAGTCTATGTTTAGTTGTTTACCAAGTTTTTCTCGAGTACGATCAAAATTAATAAAACTGAAAGAAACAAACCATCTTACATATAGAAAGATTAGAGATAGCCAACTATGGAGAGACTGAGTACAAAACTTGGGGTGTATTTACAGCTGAAAATATGGGCCCTAACGAAATTATCCTTAAGCCCATTAAGAGGTCCACAGTCCATTTTCTTCTCCTCCTCCAATTCTGTTTCGAGCTTTGGAAGTGACAGTGAATTAGGGTTTTACTCAAAAACCTCCTCGTTGTCGTTGCTCACTGCTCCGACGAGAAAATGGCGATGCGACATTTGAGCCGATCGAGAGACGTCACAAAGAGATCGACGAAGAAGTACATCGAAGAACCTCTTTACCATCGACTATTCAAAGATGGCGGCACAGAGGTCAAAGTTCGACAGCAGCTGAATCAGTTCCTCAAAGGCACTAAACACGTCTTCAAATGGGAAGTCGGAGATACGATCAAGAAACTCCGAAATCGCGGCCTCTATTACCCAGCTCTCAAGGTTTCATTTGCATTTTCGATTCTTCAAGATTAGCTTCACAATAATTTTCAGATTATTACAACCATTTGCTTTAACCCTGTTGAATACATATAGAAATGTAGATTCTTAAGTGGTAGTTTGATTCTCATTATGAACAATTTAGTAATTGTTGAGTGTCTTCTATTGAAATTGGTGATGATTGTTTTTTTAGAATTCATATTTTTTGGTTTGTAGCTATCTGAAGTTATGGAAGAGAGAGGTATGAACAAGACAGTGAGTGATCAAGCAATCCATCTTGATCTTGTTGCTAAAGCTCGGGGAATTACTGCTGGGGAGAATTATTTTGTTGATCTTCCGGAAACATCTAAGACGGAACTCACGTATGGGTCTCTTTTGAACTGCTACTGCAAGGAGTTGTTGACGGAGAAGGCGGAAGGTTTACTTAACAAGATGAAAGAGCTTAACATTACTCCTAGTTCCATGTCTTATAACAGTCTCATGACTCTTTATACCAAGACAGGTCAGACTGAGAAAGTTCCGGCGATGATCCAAGAATTGAAGGCTGAGAATGTAATGCCGGATTCATACACGTACAATGTGTGGATGAGGGCTTTGGCTGCTACTAATGATATTTCTGGTGTTGAGAGAGTTATCGAAGAGATGAATAGAGATGGTAGAGTTGCTCCAGATTGGACTACGTATAGCAATATGGCATCGATATATGTTGATGCTGGACTGTCTCAGAAAGCTGAGAAGGCTCTTCAGGAACTGGAGATGAAAAACACGCAACGGGATTTTACGGCATATCAGTTTCTTATTACTTTGTATGGACGTCTGGGAAAACTGACTGAAGTTTACAGGATTTGGCGTTCGTTGAGGCTGGCTATGCCGAAAACCTCAAATGTAGCTTATCTAAACATGATACAGGTGCTGGTCAAGTTGAATGATTTACCGGGTGCTGAGACACTGTTCAAGGAGTGGCAAGCTAACTGTTCTACTTATGACATCAGGATTGTAAATGTGTTGATTGGAGCTTATGCTAAAGAGGGTCTCATCGAAAAAGCAAAAGAGCTCAAGGAGAAAGCTCCCAGGAGAGGTGGCAAGGCCAATGCTAAAACCTGGGAAATCTTCATGGATTACTATGTAAAGAGCGGTGATATGGCTCACGCACTCGAATGTATGTCTAAGGCAGTTTCTATCGGCAAAGGAGATGGTGGCAAGTGGATACCGTCACAGGAAACAGTCAGAACTTTGATGAGCTATTTCGAGCAAAAGAAAGATGTTAATGGAGCTGAGAATTTGTTGGAGATTTTAAAGAATGGAACAGATAACATAGGCGCAGAAATCTTTGAGTCATTGATAAGAACATATGCAGCAGCGGGAAAGAGTCATCCTGCTATGCGTCGACGTCTGAAGATGGAAAACGTGGAGGTTAATGAAGTGACAAAGAAGCTACTTGATGAAGTATCTCAGGAGGTGTGAGGTCTGTTCCATCTCTTTCCCCTTCATTATTTCCTTCAGGCGACACACATTATTAGTCGTGTTAGGGGCACTTGCGTTGTCACAGCTCTGTTTCTTATTGGTAATAAAAATAGGCTCTGAATCGGCAAAATCAATCGTATGGGTCTGTTTTACTTCACCTTAGACTGTTTGTTCATGTTTTTGTGAATTGTTTCGGTCTTAGCTTGGATTTACAGTTGAGACAGCTCTCACAATGTAAGCCTATTTGTTTGAGATCTTATTTTGGTTCAAGACAGAAACATAATCAAGAATATGATATTTTGCTAAATAATGTCAATTAGGAACAAAATTTTGCGGATTGTGTTCCAAAATGCAATGAATATCTGGATTTTTTTTTCTTAATTACATCTGCAAAAAGATACCACTAAAAATCCTGGACTCTGAAAATTTTGAACTGCCTAAAAATTCTATTGTAGTTACATTTACCCGATTGATATTGGTCAAGAACATCCCCTGAAAACTAAGAAAGGAACATTTACATAAACATAATTAAGGATAAGCTTCTTTTGGTCAGTTTTGAGGAATTAGTTTTAGTGTTTTCTTCTATAGTGTGGCTCGATCATCTTATCAATGTAGCAAGCAACAAACAGTTAGTTCCCATCTTCCTGAGCTCATCTACAGCGTTCTGAAGGGTGTTGACTTGATGTGAATCTATGAACCCGTTGACACAAACACCGTAATCTGATACAGCCGCGGTCAAATACATTTTTAGCGACAAAACATTTCTCTTCCTTATGCTCTTCCTTGCGTTCTCAAGATTGAAGGATGCATCCACAAGAGTCGCATAGCAAATTGCAACAGTTGGATTTCCGTTTTTGAATCTCGCAGAAGCTGTAATGGCCAATTTCGTCTTAGCCTCCAAGGCTCGAATCGTGTTGTGTGTGGCTCGTCTCGGGTTTGGCCCTTTCACCAGCGGTCGACACAAGGTTGGGTATGCGGTTTGAGCACATAGGCTCGTGAAACGCGCTTCCGTGGCTTGGCTTGCCGCTAGGAGGATCACGATTGCGACGACAGTCGTGAGGTACATCTGGATTGTGTTGCGGCTCGCCATTTTCGTAAAAAAGTTGGAAGGAAATGATCACGGGTAATCGTCTAATCAAATTTCTCCATCTAAATATAGAAACCCTTTTGTTGGTGTCTAAATCATTGGTAATGGGCCTTTTCTGATATTTCTTTTTCTTTGGTAATTATAAGTTGATTAGTTTGAGGTTTAACTTCTTTGTAGGAGAAAATCTATTCTCTGAATATTTTATTTGTATCGTGACGATTGACAAACTAAGATTTTAGACGGCAATGTTAAAACTAAGATTTTAGATAGCAATGTTAATTATGTCTCTCTACAAGCATAAATTACGTATATATAAATTAGTATACATAAATTACATGAAAAAAATGAACTTGTATTGTGACATGCAAGAACTAACATAAGTTATATGGTCAACACCATAACCATGCATCATTTATTGTCTTTCGATTTGACTTTGATATTTCTGGTAGACATTATGTCATTCCTCAGATATGTGTTTTTCTATCTGATAACTGTTTTTTTTTTATGTTTTATGTCTACTTGACTGGCGAAAAATTTATGTGACAATCAATTGAATTCGTTGGATTCTACATTTTCTTCGGCAATTTCATCTTATAGGAGTATTATTTTGGTAATGTTGGAAAAGAGAAAAATATTGGGTCAAATCGAGAGACGTTAGTAATAATACACGACCATATAGGTACGAAAAATCCATTATGTCTAACGTCAAGAACTTCTAGTTCAAAAATAACTAACTCTTTGAAAATATCTATTCTCATCCAACGAATAACGAATGGAGGCGGAGAAGTAGATCCACCTTAAAAATTTAAGCTGACTCCTTTTAGTCCATCAATGGAGTAGTCAATATTAAATTCAAAACCAAATCAATCCTAACTTTAAAAACCCTCACTATATTTTAACTCTATATAGAAAGACGATTGCTAATATAGATAGCAGTAAAATACATATGATCTTTTCTTCCAAATCTTTCATTTTAAATGTTTTCGTTTTATTCTTTTATATATATATATATATATATATTGTTGATCAATTATGATGCATACCATCATTTAAAAAAAAAACATTTTTAGGACATCTATGGACTTGAATATTTATCAAACTCATTTGCTCATATTAATAGAGATATCAACCAATAGATATCAACTTGTTTAAATCTTTTTTGGCAAGTTTACATTTTATAAGATTAAGCTTTTTTGTATATATATATATATATATATATATATATATGAATATTATATTAACAAAAAAGCTTAATCTTATAAAATGTAAACTTGCCAAAAAAGATTAAAACAAGTATTACAAGCAAATGTTGAGTGCATATCAACAATATCTACCAAAGTATTGGAGGCGCGCAATCTGTTTTTACCTTTATCCAAGCAAAAAGAGAAGTCGAAGTTATGACGATGCATGGCGTTAAACACAGCCTGGACTAACCAAGTGCCATATGTGGACACTAAAATCGCATCTCAGCAGGAGATGCTCCCTTGTTTCCTCAAAATTTGAATAAAAACAACAAGAAGATGCTATAATTGTATAAGCAATCCTCAAGGTGTCAGTCTCATTCTTGTTGGCATGCATAGTTGGGAGATCCACATTGTAAAACTGTGCTTTGGAGGTTTTCTTTCGCTTGATTTGCAATAAATCGGCCTTCGTCGTTTGACAGCATGTATCTTCCTCGTTGAGGTGACATCGATGATATTCATCAAATTGTTTATCGCTTCATTGATTCCAAGAGCGTCAGCTTTTGTTGATGTCGATGGACCGATTGTTATTTGCTTTCAGTTTTTTTTTTGTTTTTTTTTTCTGCCATGGGACCAAACATAGGATTTATTTTCTTGTAACTCCTAATCATTTTCATTTTCTAATGAAATATTGACATTTTTAGCAAAAAAAAAAACATGCTTTGGAGTGGCTCTTTTAAAGAAACTTGAAGAAGACCAGTCTTTTTTGCTCTGTTTAGGATGAGAAGAAACTTGAGTAGTATATAAGGTACATTTTAAGGTCTCTTTACTCATTGTAAATTGGTTTTGAGTTGGAAGCCCATGAAACTTAACATTTCACTATATTGAGTAAGGATCGACTTCATAATAGGTGAATGTCTAGTCCCGAATGATTATTTTGAGAAATTAAGATATTTTTGAAAATTTTAGAGTGTTTGAGGATATATGAAAACGAAAAGTACGAGTATTCCATTCGAATCCCTTACCCTATTCCTTATCCGTTTGATGAAAATAGATATTTTCAAAGAGTTAGTTATTTTTGAACAAGAAGTTCTTGACGGTTACGAAACATAATGGGTTTTTTATACCGATATGGTCGTGTATTATCGTTAGTAATAAAATCATATTTATTTTTCATAAACACGTTTAATTAACATCTTTTAAATAAAATCCCACAACAATTATTTTAAAAAGCACCAATAAAATATTGTTCCTATATAAAAAGACCTAAACTATTTGTTTACTATATAAAAGTTAGTCTTATGTTGTTTTTGACAGTTTGCCCAAAAAAAAAAATGTTGTTGTTGACCACTTTTATAATGATTATATATGGTGGTTTGGTCGATAAAGAGCAAACAAACAACAATAAGACTAAAAATATTTTTAGGGTTGCTGTGGCAGAGACAAAGTTAAGACATCTAATTAGGAAATCGACAATATAAAATTTTATCTCAGGCGAACAAAAATCAAACATTACTAATGGCCCTTAACTTCGAAATAATTACAAGAAAACATACTGGTTTTTTTGACATGCGTGTGTGACAAGTACTTTGATTTTTAGGAGAGAGTAATAACGAGCTGAGTGACATTAAATGCTCAATATATGAACTGACCCTTACCAAACGAAAAACGTATTAATTGTTGTTTTCTCAAATTAGAGCAATTTTAACATGCTACAAATATACATTACACAATTTTAACATTTTTACATATGTAAACACATAGATATAGCGTTAAAAATAATTTTAGTGTTAAGTTATTGGATCTATATATACATGTAAATGTATATAGAATGTTATTAACATGTGTATACATCTACTATACATTTTTGCAGCAGTTTTTGGGGTACCCAAATCGGGTCAAATTTGTTTAATTTTGATCCGGAAATCTTCAATCGGATCTTTCTTTAAATTTTGGCAAAATTAAAAAACGAAAATAATTAATAAAATCTAAAATATATATACTTTCTCAACTAATTACTATATTTAAACACTTTATTTATGGTATATTCTCCACGATTTTTATAGATAAAGAAATCAAATATGATGATTTAATGCTAATATAACAAATTTGCACTAATTTCCTAAAACCTCTCTACCTAATTTAAACATAAATATATGATTCTTATTTCACTTTTATTTGATCTTATATTTATATTATTTTAAATTATTATAAAATATATAAATAGTTAGTAAATTTTAGTTTTTTTTTTTCTGCATATGTTACAATTCAAATTTTTTAAAACGGACATATATTACTCAATCGATGAATAAAAATATGTGTGTAATCTATATTAACAATTTTAAGAACAAATTGAGCATTTAATCATGTCGTTATTTTATTCAGACCCGAAATTGAGTCATTCGGATCTTTCTTTAATTTTTACAATTATCTAAAATGGAACAGTATATCACGGGTGAAATCCTAATTAGTATTTTCATATACAATTATAAATTGTTTTTACGGGTTGGTCCAAAAACACACACTAATTTAAAAATATACATGGAAACTATTTGAAAGCAACTTTCAAATTAACTCGAATTATATGACATTTAAATAAAAGTGTTATTAAAAAAATAACAAAATGATGTTTAATTTCATTTTAGATTATATGGTTGGATGGGTTTGGGTCAATATTAATACGAGACAATATACCACAGGTGAAATCCTATAAATAACAAATCAAAATACAATTATACAATCTTAAACACTAAACAAAACAAATACAACTTAAAATTTTTTATTTTAGATACAACGCATGTGACCCGCGGTATACAACAAAAAATATTATACACAATAAATTCATCAATTTATAAAAATAAAAAAATCAAATAATTAACCCGCGGAGTACCGCGGGTCATATCCTAGTATAAATACGTAAATAGAGCATGGTTAACATTTGTTGTACATGTATGCACACTACAAAGCCCAAACTGTAGAACATACCAAGTGAGCAGTGCATCCCAATTGAACATCGAAATATTATAAATTTTTTGGATTTTCGATTGATTTTCCTTAATTTTTGCCGAGTTGTCACCGGATCTATACTGGATTTTTTTCGAATTGTTATTGACTTTTCACCGGATTTTATTGAATTGTCAGAGTCACTGAATCTTCATCATATTTTGTCAAATTGTCACCGGAACTTATATAGATACTTCATATTAAGTTTTAAGTACTAATTATCTCTATCTTTAATTGGTTATTCTCTCTTCAAAAATAATCGAGAAGACAGTTTCGAATTATCCATGCATGGCCTTGCAAAATAAATATAGTTTAATCGGGTATTATGAGAGAATAGACCAATATATACATAAATCTACAATGTTTTTTTTTGGATATCCACAACATATTAATGTGTTTGTCTAGGTAGTGAGACGGTGTTAAAATGAAGAAGCGCATAAGGTTAATTTTGGCAAAAAATGAGAATTTGTCATAATTTATATAAAAACTAATTTGCTTCGGATCTATTGTCTCTTTGTTAATTATCTCAATATTTTATCTGGGAAACAAACATGCAAAAATATGCTATAAAAAACCCAACTATTTTTTGAATACATGACAAAATTTACTTTTTTGAAAAGAAAAAGAAAAAGAAAAAAAAAACTACAAATTCGTGACAAGTTGAGATTGAGTTTCCGACAAGTTTTGAAGATTAGACGAGTGTTTGTGTTTATAAGGTTTAGCTTGGAAGTTTGGTATTAGAGAAGTTAATTTATTTTTCCTTAAATTTTTCTTTTCTTTTTCCTATAATTTTACTTATGTTGTACTTATATTTTTACTTATAAATCTCTATTTAATTGTTAAAATAGTATATATTGTCATAACCTGATTTGTTATTTTTCTTACTCAGTATCTCACTATTTTATTTTAAAAACCATAAATATGTTTGGTGCAAAAGATATATTAATATTGGATAAATAAGAAATTTTTTCTTTTACTCATATATATATATATGGGAATTATTGTCATTTATTTAACAGCTGTAGATTAAAATCCATATAACTATTTTAATTAAGATTGAAATGCCTTTGATTTTTTTCCTTATACATAATGTTAATTATTTAATTAAAGATAAAGTAAAAACAAATTTTAAAAATATTAAGATAAGATCTCTGTGGGCCAATCGAATGGTCTTCTCTCTCGCTCTCACCTAAACTATCAAGTAATCTCTTAACTCTCTTCGTACTTGGGACTGATTCGTTTCGTAGCTTAGTTTGTGTGGAATATAGGGTTTAATTTTCGTTAGAAGCCATGGTTAGAACCTCTATCAAAACCAATGGCTCGGGGTTAGATAGGTTAAGCGATTTACCAGAGCATTTGTCGTGTAGGATACTCTCTCAACTGTCCACCAAAGACTCCGTTCGCACGAGCGTTTTGTCTAAGCATTGGAGAAACCTTTGGTTACATGTTCCTGCTTTGGATTTGGATACCATTGATTTTCCAAATAATCTCGTCTTTAAGGAGTTCATCGATAGATTTGTCGAATTTGACAAAGAGTTAGACTTAAAGAGATTCGAGTTATTTTATGATGTTAATCATGCCCACTCTTTTGATGAGTTTCTGTGGATGATCGATGATGTGGTTAAGCGTAGAGTTGGTCATGTAACAGTTATCAATAACGTGTATGTTGTTGATGAAACGTTAGTTACCATGCCTCTCTCGCTCTATTCATGTGCAACACTGGTGAATTTGGATCTCTCCTTTGTTGCCATGAATAAGCCACAGTCAGAATTGGTTTCTTTACCTTGTGTAAAGACCATGCATCTAGATGCAGTTAAGTTTAATGGTGATGATTCCATTCTGGAGACTCTTATCTCAAGTTGTTCGGTGCTTAACGATTTAACGGTGATTGCGCATCCTGGTGATTATGCCCAAGTTGTATGTGTTCGCTCTCGATCATTAAAAAGCTTCACACTAGAGTCTCAGAGTCAGTATCAAGACCCCAATGTTGTAATTGACTGTCCAAGGCTTGAGTATATGAGTGTTATGGAATACCAACCTGCAAGCATTGTAGTACATAGTATTGGTCCCTATGCAAAGGTGAACATCGATGTTATGTTTGAAGTTGACTATGAAGATCCACTGGCAATCACTATGATCCGCAGTTTTCTCATCGCGATATCCAAAGCCCGTGAAATGACCATCTCAACTCGAACTTTAGAGGTACATTTGATTGTTTTATTCCAAAACATTATGTTTATACATATTTATTCTTTCTTTATTGCTACATACACAGCTCATCGACGGCTACCATTTGAAGGTGAAAGAGTTGCCTAAGTTTTCCAACTTGTCTCGCCTAGATGCCTTGTTAGACAAGTCTTTTTGGGATCGTTTACCAGGTTTTCTTGGTTGTTGCATCAATCTGAATTCATTCGTCCTGGTACGTTTCTTTTGCATATGGTCATGTAATTACATTAGGATTTCTATCCCAAGATAATATTACATAATTTTTTTGTTTATGTTATTAGGAACTTGACGGCCATTCAGAGATAGAGGAGATTAAAGTTTCACCACTGCTTCAAGATGCCCTATCCGCTCGTGGGTTTGTTCAGCTGAAGACACCACTTTCAGTCACAAAGACATCAAGTGAAATGAGGAAAATAGCAGCATATTTTGTGAAGAAAAGTGGCTAAAAGTAAGCAATAACATATTATCCGGGTTTCTCTCATAAATCCATTTTTATTTCCAGTTATCTACCAATATTACATTTTATGTAAGACTTTATAATTTTTTGTTGGACATATGACTTTATGATTCCTAGTTATATGGATGTTTGTAAGGTAAATTTCCCTTTTTGGTTGACATGACTTTATGGTTCCTAGGTATACAGTTATTTATTGAAATAGTGCTAGTCGTCAACTATATTGCATCTATGGTAATCTCCGAAACCCTAGCTCTCTCTGCCTAGTAAACACTTTCCTTGCTCAATACTCTTTCCAGAGTAATTGTGTCTAGCTTCTTTTTCGGACTTGATTAAAATCACACGACTTAAATTCATGCTAACCCTTTGATTTTATTTTATAAAGTTAAGTTATAACAACCTTGCTGGTGATATTAGAATTGGTCAGGAAGATATGATTAGCAAAATACAAGATTCTTTTTTTTTTTTTTTGTGATATACCAATAATTCCCAAAAAGGATGAGCTTAACACCAGCTTTTTTGCCACGTATGGATAAATCTTTGGCAATATATGGCTCGATTGGATTTTGAGTTTAATGGCTTTCATAGATTACGCTAAAATTCGATTATTTTCAATAGGTTTATAGGTTTGATCAGTAACTTTATTGTGTGCTTTAGAAAGAGTTATGGTAAGGCATACATGATATATCATATTGAGGTAGAAACACGATCGCGAGACTTCAACAGATCGATGTTCAAGAAAATACAAAGTACGATAGTATTAAAAATACCTTCAACCATTTATATATCATATAAGTTATGTGATCATCAGTCAAGTGGTGAATCAATTTTCTCAGTGGTTATGTGTTTGGAGAAGTTATATCTAGCTGCTCTCCAAAAAGCCATGGGAGTGCTCAAGGCTCAGTGACTGACTACCTATTGGTTTACAAGACTTTAGAAAGCTAGCTAGTACATGATGTACTGTACATCTGAATCTGGAAAGGACAAAGATACCTGAGAGGCGAGAGCATTTCAGGGATATCATCGGTCAATTTTGGAAAATTGAGACTACAAGAAACTAAAGTACTGTGGCTATACTTATACTTTTTAACCACGTACCCGTTTCCAATTAATTTTGTAAACCGTTTCCACAGTTCAGTATATCCGTTTATGATTCCATGCAACCTAAAAAATATATACTATTTTATAATTGTGATTTATTGTTTATTGAATTACTGATAATGTATTATTTAATTCTTTTCTTAAAAAGCTAAATATGTTAAGCACAATATATATCTTCTATATATTATAACATAGTTTTTGGCTGATGTGGCAAGTCCACAAATTTTTTTTTTACCTTTTTTAAAAAAAAATTCGACTATCATATGTACCAAACACATATTTTCTTATCCTTATCATCATCCTCTTTAAACACTTACTCAAACACACCTTATTTTATTCTAATATATCTATAATATCCAAATTTAGATTTTTCAAATTTCTCTATTATTACCATATATGATATTTTGAAATTCCTATACACTTAATGCTTTGATATTTTGAAATGCACTTTAAATTTGAATATAAATTTATCGGGTTGGTTATATAACGTACGTTAGTTTGTCCATGTCACCATGTAAATTTATTACTTCGTGTAGATATCAATAAAATACTTTAATTTATATGTGTTAGTATATGTCGGGTTATACTTCGTGTAGGTGACAATCATTTTTCCAACATATAACATTTTTGCATATTTATAGTTCTTCCAAAAACAAGATATATCAAAAAGACAAAAAAAAAATACAGTAAAATCCTCTAAATATGGGACCAAAATATTTTATTAATTTATACTGATAAGCTGTTAAAATTTCACAAAAATATGAGTTCAAACAATTTGATCTAAATAAAATAAATGTTTTGAAATTACAAAAGTTTTTAGTTTGGGACATGAAATTTTAATATTTAGAAGAAAAGACAAATCATTAGAAAAATGATTCACTAACAAAGACAATGGTTGAATTCACTTATACAAATTATATACATAAGTGATATACATAAACTTAAAATTTTGAATAGTAACCTCAGTTGTTGTATTTGAGCCGCCAATATGACTATCGAAATAAAAATGATGCATATACAGAATTTTAAAACTTGTAGAAAATGTTGGCTATTTTTATGAAATATTTATAGACGATACTCTATATAATTATTAATTTATGTTATTAATAGACTATATATTTATATATGAATTCTAAAAAATATTGTCTTATTGAATTTTGTTAATTTTTATATTTGTTCGATTTGGGACGTGTTTATTAATTTATCGAGTATTAATTTATAGAGATTTTAGTTCTACTAAAGAAATGTCATCTTTCAAGGCATTCATATAATTTCAAATCTTTCATTACATGGAGGACAAATTTATTGATAAGGAAATATCTTAAATGACTTTGTCAAACAAGAAAATTATAAAATCATAATTTATTTTTTTCTACAAATATACCTCAAGATTTTTATTGTTTTTTATTTTCGTTCTTTTTAGTTGTTTTCTTATAGACTTTCATGAACATTTTATATAATTTGTATACCATCTAAAACCACAGACAAAGAGTTCGAGATGATGAAATATATAAAATGAATTGGTTCATCAATTTCCATCATAACGATCGTGGACAACGCAATGTATATAGGTACACTTGGTAGCAACACATTTACTTTCCAAACTGGAAATGGGGGATTAGATATGTTATATATTGCACCTTAGGATTAAAGTGGTTAAGAACTTTTGATCATTTGGTAAAAAATTCTCTATATGCATTGGAAATTTTGAGTGATACTCTACTCTCTTCTTAGGAGAATCCGATATTTACTGAAATGAAGTTATTTTTGGATAGAAATGAAGACAACTTAACTAAAGTCTAAACATTTTTCATTGTATCTAGTGCAGCACAGGTACAATATCAAGATCGACACCACTCGGAAATAACATCTCCTTATCTTTTTTTATATATATATATTTATTGTCTTTTCACAGCAAAACAAATTGTGGAGAAAAAAATGTAAGAAAGTACAGTTAAACCTCTACAAATTAATAAATATTAATTTATAAAGAATTCTGATTTAGTTGTTAAAACTTTAAAAAAATTAGTTAAAACAATTTAATCTAAATAAACTTAATGCTTGGATGTTAAAATTTTTGTAGTTTTCGACTTGAACATTTAATATTTAGAAGAAATTTTTTTTTTGAAAATAAGTAACAAATATAATAGATGAACTCACAAAGACAAGCGATATACATAAATTTAAATTTATGAGTAATAACTTCAATTGTTGTATTTGAACAACATATATGACTATTGAAATTAAATTATGCATATTTAAAATTTGAAACTTACAGAATATTTTGGCTATTTTTATTAAAAATTTATAGACGATACAACAATAACATAGTTCAAAAACACAACATAACATATTTTTTATATTATAAAAGTTAGTGGTGAGATCTAGTAAAATTTCGTTTAAAAAAAATACAAAAAATATTATATATATTTATTTATGTATGTGTGTGTGTAAACTTACATTACTAGTAATTTATGTTATTAAGAAGACTATATATTAAAAATAATTATCTTATTATTATATCAATTTTGTTCATTTTTACACTATCCCGATTTGTTTATTTATATCATATTAAAAAATAATTATCTTATTATTTATCTTATTATTTATATCAAATGGTGTGTCTTAGTCTCTCATATATTTCTTGGGAGACTAAGACACACCATTAGAGAAATAAGTAGACCAACTAACCTAAAAAGATTATTGATTAATGTGGCCTCTAAAATTCTTATACAAAATGTTGCCTAGGACACTCGCCCTTTTTCCATAGTGGTGGTAATCACGGCTCTGCGTCAGCTCGTTTAGGTTGGTCCATTACATACCAACCGATCAGATCGGTTCATTAATAAAGTTCTCACTTAGACATATGGTGGTCCGAGGTTATCCGGTATTTTAGGATGTGAGATACGACACATAGCTGCATATAATGTTTTCTCAAGAGGAACCATATTAATAATGGTTAGAAAAAGTTCTTGAAAGGTGATGACTTGCAGATCAAGTAAGCTTAATATCCTTTGTAACATCTCTAAACCTCGTTTTGTTATCCTTTATGGTGAAGATATCATCTGTTCAAACAAACTCAAGCTAAGTAGTTGTAATTTTGATTAATTTCAAACACTATCAGTCTTTCATCGGATTGAATATTAATGTGTTTGGAAAAAGCAAAACATTTGATGATCGGATCACCTTATCTAGTTATATTATATGATATTTTTCTATAAAAACAACAAATTATGAATACTGATATGAAATCATCAATGACGTTAAAGTTTATAGAATTTATATAATCTTTTTGTTCAAATGAAGACTACAATTTTGTTTTGTCCTCTTTAATTTTTTTCACTAACAAAAAAACTCTAGTAACATTAATTGCTTTATCTTCCACTCCACTCCACTCCACTCCTATAAATCCCACTCAAATCTGCTTCTGATTTCATAAAAATACATTTTCTTTGTATCTTTTTTTCTTAATCTTCCGAAGATTGATTCATCAATGGCAGAGGAAGCTTGTAAAGTGCGTAGGATGAAGTTAGGGAGCCAAGGTCTTGAAGTTTCGGCTCAGGGACTTGGTTGCAGGGCCGGCCCAGACCTAAAGCCCAGCAAGCAGATGCTTTAGGCAGCAAATCTTATATGTATTTTAAAAGGCATTAAAATTATAAAAGTGTCTTGTAGTCTAGTGGTATTTAGGACGTCTAAAGGTAGTTGGGCGTGGGTTCGATCCTTGGCAACCGAAGATTTTAATATTTTTTTATTTTTAGTTATTGTAAATGGGCATCAAATTTTGTTGGGCTTTAGGCATCATGAATCTTTGGGCCGGCCCTGCTTGGTTGCATGGGTCTCTCCGCCTTCTACGGTGCTCCGACACCTGAGACTAACGCCGTGGCTCTCCTCCGTCACGCCATTAACGCCGGCGTTACATTCTTGGATACTTCCGACATCTACGGTCCCGAGACAAACGAGCTGCTTCTTGGAAAGGTAACAAATTTGGTGACTGATGACTGCTCGTGGATTTTGTTTTTGGAATTAGGGTTTTAGGCTGTGATCTAGGGTTTAGGGTTTTAGGCTTTTAGGGTTCTGGTCAATCATCAAGTGCTGGATCTGTTTTCTCTTTGTGGTGGCAGGCTTTGAAAGATGGGTTGAGGGATAAAGTGGAATTAGCGACAAAATTTGGGATCACTGCTTCTGAAGATGGAAAATTTGGTTTCAGGGGAGATCCAGAGTATGTGAGTGCTTGTGAAGCAAGTTTAAGGCGTCTTGGTGTTACCTCCATTGATCTTTATTACCAGCATCGAATTAATACCACTCTGCCCATCGAAATCACGGTATGGCTTCTTGCTTTTAATCTGTTTCAATGTGTTAAATGTTACTCATAGAGAGCCAAATATGTGATGAGTAATAAGTATTTTTAAGGAAACAACTAGGGGTAGTTAGAGATATGCATGTAGTACTCTGTTTCTTGTTGCTTTATAATTTTTTGTTTGTTTTTGTTTTTGTTTTAGTTGTTTTTGTTCAAAGATTGGAGAGCTGAAGAAACTAGTGGAAGAAGGGAAAATAAACTATATAGGTTTGTCAGAAGCTTCAGCTTCAACTATCAGAAGAGCACACGCTGTTCATCCGATAACCGCTGTGCAAATAGAATGGTCTTTATGGTCGAGAGACGTGGAAGAAGATATCATTCCAACCTGCAGGTGTGAGGAATCAAAATTAGCCATAAGTTTCTTTGTCAACATGTTTAATTCATAACATGTCTCTTTTGATATCTCTAGGGAACTTGGGATTGGAATTGTAGCTTATAGCCCTCTAGGAAGAAAAAAAGCTTGTTCGCATCTGGACCCAAGCTTGTTGAGAATCTGGAGCAAGATGATTATCGAAAGGCAAGTACATGATTGATTCAGTTCTCTATTTCCGTAAACAGACATTGTACATAAGGAGCATATTTCAAGATTTGGAGTCATCTCATGCTTCTTGATATTACTCTGTCACAGGGTCTACCAAGATTCCAACAGGAGAATCTAGACAACAACAAGATTCTCTACGAGAAAGTCCAAGAGATGGCGACAAAGAAAAGCTGCACTCCTGCACAACTAGCTCTAGCATGGGTTCACCACCAAGGAGATGATGTTTGTCCTATTCCAGGAACCTCCAAGATCCAAAACCTCAACCAGAACATTGGAGCTTTATCAGTGAAGCTCACTCCTGAAGAGATGGTTGAGCTTGAAGCCATTGCTCGACCGGATTTCGTGAAAGGGGAACGATATGACAACAACATGGTTACTTACAAAGACTCAGAGACTCCACCATTGTCTTCTTGGAAAGAAAAATAAAATACATGTTTGGAAACTGTTTTGAGGGTATACCGCATTGGCCAAATCGAGGTAATATTGTGCTGAAGATGTGTCTGTGTGAAATAAGTTAAGTATATGGGTGTGCGAGTTTGCAATAAGAAAGAACCAATGCCTTAGAAAGAATAAAGGTTTTGTACAAAGCAATGCATTATGCTTTCAAGAATAAAATATGCATAATGCATTATGAAGATTCCATTACTTTATCTTGAACGGGGTGAGAGAAAAAGTGGTTGCAACTTGCAAGTTCCACAAGTTAATAATTGATTGAGAAAGAAAGTGAATAGATGTTAGACTATATCAAAAATGAATTTGACTTATGAAGATTCCATTACTTTATTGGTTAACAAATTCAATTTTGTTTTCGTTAAGACAGGAAAAAACTGCACCAATTAGACAAAAGCGACACGGCTTTTTCTTGTTCATCATCACACCAACCAAACTCCACTCAAATTCACAGCTCTACCTAGACAAGTCAATAGACAAAGAGAGAGAGAGAGTTGTGACAAGAGATTCATGGCGGAACCTTGCCGAGTGAGAAGGATGAAGCTAGGAAGCCAAGGCCTTGAGGTATCGGCGCAAGGCCTTGGTTGCATGGGCCTCTCTGCTTTCTACGGTGCTCCCAAGCCGGAAACCGAAGCCATCGCTCTCATCCACCACGCTATTCACTCCGGTGTCACTTTCCTTGATACCTCTGACATTTACGGTCCTGAAACCAACGAGGTTCTTCTCAGCAAGGTTCGATTTTTGATCATTCCCCATCTTCGATTTCATATTGATATTGTTTAATAGAGGAACTGGCCTTGATTCGTTGAGCTTCATAGCTGTAGAAAGGATTCCGATGTTGCAAGTTTGGATTTTTGTTGAAAATTTGGATTTTTGTCAGGCTCTGAAGGATGGAGTGAGAGAAAAAGTGGAACTTGCCACCAAATATGGAATCAGGTATGCAGAGGGGAAAGTAGAGTTTAACGGAGATCCTGCGTATGTAAGAGCTGCGTGTGAGGCAAGTTTAAAGAGGCTAGATGTTACCTGCATTGATCTCTATTATCAGCATCGAATTGATACTCGTGTCCCTATCGAAATCACTGTAAGTAAGCCCTCTCCTTTTCAATCTTCCTTGATGGTTTTGCAACTTTCAAATGAAATGGAAGTTATGTACTTCATCTCCGTGGCTAGGGACATGTTGGGGCTAATATAGAGTTGAAGAATTTAGATTTCAGAACCTGTAAAATGATCTGGTGAAATGATCTTGAACTGAGCGGTTTGGAGGCTTTCTCATCTATCATCACCTGTAAATAGTCCATCTTGCGAGGATAGGATTGTCACTTAGTCCTTCCAATGTGGGATCTTATCATCCCCCTAAGAATGTTTCATTTGAATAGACTCCTCCATTAGGTTTGACACTGAGCTCTAATTGGGTTGCCACACTTGATGACCTTTATAGAAAGCCGGCACCTTTTGCTGAACTTAACAATCTCTTTTGTCTGTCAATTTCAAAGATAGGAGAGCTGAAGAAGCTAGTTGAAGAAGGTAAAATAAAGTATATCGGTTTGTCAGAAGCTTCAGCTTCAACTATTAGAAGAGCACATGCTGTTCACCCGATAACCGCTCTGCAAATTGAATGGTCCTTATGGTCGAGAGATGTGGAAGAAGATATCATTCCAACTTGCAGGTATCCAGATTTCATTTAATCCTCCTTTCTTGATGCACTATCTATCAAGTACGTAACATCTTCTCTCTCTTTCTTCAGGGAACTTGGAATTGGAATTGTTGCTTACAGTCCTCTGGGACGAGGTTTCTTTGCATCAGGACCCAACCTTGTTGAGAACCTAGACAATAATGACGTCAGAAAGGCAAGTACACAGCCTTTTTATGACTTGTTTGATTGATGAACTGTTGGTAATCAACTCACTGTTTATCTGCTCAACTCTGTTTCTTATTGCAGACTCTACCAAGATTCCAACAGGAAAACTTAGTTCACAACAAGATTCTCTTTGAGAAAGTTTCTGCAATGTCGGAGAAGAAAGGGTGCACTCCCGCACAACTAGCCCTTGCATGGGTTCATCACCAGGGAGATGATGTTTGCCCCATCCCAGGAACCACTAAGATTGAAAACCTTAACCAGAACATTGGAGCTTTATCAGTGAAACTTACTCCCGAAGAGATGTCTGAGCTCGAGTCCCTTGCCCAACCAGAGTCTGTGAAAGGAGAAAGATCCATTAGCATCCTGACCACGTTCAAGAACTCTGAGACTCCACCATTATCTTCTTGGAAAGCCGCTTAAAATTGTCCGAGTTTCTCTGGTTGTTGTGGGGTTCATGACACTGAAGTGGTCTAACTTATATCAGCCAGATCAAGGTAATAAATGTGTTAATGCCTTGAAGAATAAATAATTTATAGAGTTCCCCAGGTGAAAACTTCAATTTACATTTCATACATTGTAACCAAACTCTATAAACAAATATATGTTCTGATACAAACTTAAATAACGTTTACACCAAAAATCTTACCAAGCTATCTATATCGTCACCCAACTCTATGAAGGATATGTGCGATGAAAATGTCTCGGTTCCATCTCTTTTGTTCTTGTTTTTTTCTTCTGCATTTCCCCCACTTCTCCTTTTTGATTTTCATAATTAGTTTTGCAGATAAAGATTTCCATAATATTCAACAAAAAAGTATAATTTTCATAAAGCTAAGAAAAAGTATTTATTTAAAAAATTAACTCACAGGTCATTAGATTTACTTCAATTTAATAGAGAGGTAAAGTGTTTAACTTAGACTCCGATGAGTAACATTAATTACATAATTGCATAAAATTATCACATAAATTGCAAATTGAAAACTCGCAGAAATTGTAGAATGAAAATTTGTGCTGATTCAATACATTTGTATACCCATTTACTAGATTTTAACCCGCGGTACACCGCGGGATGATTTAATTTTAAAGTTAGTATAAAAATATTTTGTAAATTGTATCTCCTTATAACATATTTATTTATATTATAGTTTACAATTGTTATTAAGTAACGGTATACCACGAGTCCACGAGATAATTATTAATGAACTGAGGATTTAACCCGTATTAAAGCGGTATATAAATATTGATTCAAATTCGTCCGCCATATAAATCATTTCCGAAATATAACCCGTTCCGTAATTTCTTAACCCGTCCTGTGATTTGTATTAAAAAAAATAAGGATTAAATCCGTATTGAAGCGGCGGATTAATGATATTTTAATCTTTTTATTATTGTTGATTCAAAAACCCGTCCCGCCAAACCCATCCCGCCAAAAAACTCATTTATTTTATTAATGTTCTTATTTATGATATGATTCTGAATCATTGTCTAAATATTTTAATCGATATAGAACGTTGAACACACATTTTCGTCAATTGGATAATATATGTCCGTTTTTAAAATTTCGAATCACAGTATATGCAGAAAAAAAATTGATTTTTTTTTTACTTTATGTATTATATGATGATTCAAAACAGTTAAAAACAAATCAAACAAAGGTGATAGGAGAATCATAATTATAAATCTTAATCAAATCTTCTAAAAATCTAAATTATTAAATATGGAATATCCAGTGTATGAGTTGGGTTAAATATAACCCGACCCAACAAATTTTTTGTGAAGGAATTTTTAAAATGGGTCGGATATCCGATATACCCGAAAGATTTTTTACCCACCCGTCACAAAAAGTGCTGCGATTATACTAGTATAGATTTGCAGAATGAGTTATAGGCGAAAAAGGCAAATTTGCGTTTTGTCAAACATCGTAGATAATTTTTTTTTATTAGTAAACTTTTTGCATAGTCGCATTAGAAAATGTCATTCAATTTAATAAACTTATAAAAAATATAATTGTTGTTAAAATATTATAACAACAAAAATAAAAATAAACCTCTTCATAAACATTATTAATAGATTTTAAATTTGAATTAACAAGAAAAAAAAATTGAAGTTTATAGTTTCTCACAAGTGAAGAAGACTGTTAAGAGTATATTTGGTTAAAAGGAGTTTGACTTGTGAAAATTCCATTACTTTTTTTGGTTAACAATTTCAATTTTGTTTTCGTAAAGAGGAAAAAAAACTGCACCAACCAGACAAAAGCGACACACGGCTTTTCTCTTCATCATCATTCATCATTCACCAACCCACCACCTCCAACAACAATAACTCCACTCAAAATTCACAGCTCTACAAGAGTCACCTAGACAAGTCAAGAGACAGAGAAAGTTCTGACTTCTGACAGAGATTCATGGCGGAAGCTTGCGGAGTGAGAAGGATGAAGCTGGGAAGCCAAGGCCTTGAGGTATCGGCGCAAGGCCTCGGTTGCATGGGCCTCTCTGCTTTCTACGGTGCTCCCAAGCCGGAAACTGACGCCATCGCTCTCATCCACCACGCTATTCACTCCGGTGTCACTTTCCTTGACACCTCTGACATCTATGGTCCTGAAACCAACGAGGTTCTCCTCGGAAAGGTTCGATTTTTATGATTCCCGATCTTCGATTTGATCTTCGGTTTTAAAATTTTGTTCTCTTTTGGGCAACAAAGAACGATTTAGAGATGGGAATTGGCCTTTGATTTCTTTGAGCTTCATAGCTGTAGAATTGATTTCAAAGTTTGGATTTTTTTCAGGCTCTGAAAGATGGAGTTAGAGAAAAAGTGGAACTTGCAACCAAATTTGGGATCAGTTATGCAGAGGGAAAGAGAGAGGTGAGAGGAGATCCTGAGTATGTAAGGGCTGCTTGTGAGGCTAGTTTAAAGAGGCTAGATATTGCCTGTATTGATCTTTATTATCAGCACCGTGTCGATACTCGTGTTCCTATCGAAATCACTGTAAGCTTCCTCTTGCAAATCCTCCTTCATGCTATAGTTTCAAAGTTTACAATTTGGTTAGTCTTAGTCTTTTACTCTTGTCCCTACCGAAATCACTGTAAGCCCTCTTGCCAATCCTACTTAATGGATTTGAAACTTTCAAATGAAATGGAAGTTATATAGTTCACTACTTCAAGAGAAATCTCAGAGAGCTTCACATCTTGGCTTGGTTTATCGGACTAATAGGGACAAAGAAAATAGATTGGAGATGATGTTTTCTGCTTAGGTTATTACTCTTTCGAAGTGGCTAGCTTATTCACAAAGAACAATGTCTGGTGTAATGATCTTTAACTGAGAGATTTTGAGGCTTTCTTATCTACTTTCACCTATAAGTACTCTCCTAAGCCAGCTTGTGAAGATAGGGTGCCCTTTGGACCTATTAGCCATTCACTTTTTCCTCTCCTTTCCAATGTGGTATGTTTGGTGATAATTAGTCCCTCAGTACCATCTCCTCTAAGGATTTTTCGTATGAATAGACTCTGTTAGGGTCGGTTCTGAGCTCTACTTCCTGACCTTCATAGAAAGCCGAAATCTTTTCCTGAACTTAACCATTTTTTTGTCTGTCAATTCCAAGATGGGAGAACTGAAGAAGCTGGTTGAAGAGGGTAAAATAAAGTACATTGGTTTGTCTGAAGCCTCTGCTTCAACTATCAGAAGAGCGCATGCTGTTCACCCAATTACTGCTGTGCAGTTAGAATGGTCCTTGTGGACGAGAGATGTGGAAGAAGAAATCATTCCGACCTGCAGGTATTCAGGTTTCATCCTACTTTCCTGGTGCAATATCTATCAATCATGCAAATTCATATTCTCTTTCCTTCTTCAGGGAACTTGGGATTGGGATTGTTGCTTACAGTCCTCTAGGACGAGGTTTCTTCGCATCTGGACCCAAGCTTGTTGAGAACCTAGAAAAGGATGACTTCAGAAAGGCAAGTACATAGTCTTTGTGTATGACTTGTTTGATTGATGAACCTTACATAACCTGTGGATAAATCAAATGACTTTATACAAACTCAATTATTGCAGGCTCTACCAAGATTCCTAGAGAAAAACTTAGACCACAACAAGATTGTTTATGAGAAGGTTTGTGCAATCTCGGAAAAGAAAGGATGCACTCCTGCACAGTTAGCTCTGGCATGGGTTCACCACCAGGGAGATGATGTTTGTCCCATCCCAGGAACCACTAAGATCGAAAACCTCAACCAGAACATTGGAGCTTTATCAGTGAAACTCACTCCCGAAGAGATGACTGAGCTTGAGGCCATTGCCCAACCAGGTTTTGTGAAAGGGGAAAGATACAGTAGCATGATACCCACTTTCAAAAACTCTGAGACACCGCCATTGTCTTCTTGGAAAGCTGCTTAAAATCGTCTGAGTTTGTCTGGTTGTTGTGGGGTTCATGACACTGAAGTGGTCTAACTTATGTCAGTCAGATCAAGGTAATAAATGTGTTAATGCCGTGAAGAATAAATAATGTATAGAGTTCCCCCAAGTGAAAACTTCAATTTACATTTTCATACATTGTAACCAAACTCTAAAAAATAAGTAGTTATTTTCACTTGAAGTTATTTTCACTTGAAGTTATTTTCGGTTTGGTTTAATTAAACCAGGATTCGGGTGTTATTTTCGGTCCAACACTTAAACAAGCGAAGCGACCCAATTGGTTGGTTAATCATCATCTTCATCGAGTCACACCCTAGTTTGCCACTAAACCGAAAAAATGAATCTGGCCTGCCATTTTATGATCTATATGCCACTATATATATGTGTTATCTCCATTTTACCCTTAATGAATTATTCCTTATTTAATTTTTAAAAAGCAAAAGAGAAAATAAAAAAAAAAACAAAACTCTCAGTATGTGGGTCCCAAAAAACGTTTAGCGTATGATTTTTTTTTAATGTTGTATTTACTCGATATATGGGTCCTACTAAAAAGTTTTTTTTTTTTTTTTTTCGGCAGAATAATACTCATAGTTGTCCAGTTGTACTATCATAATCATAGTTGAACTTTCCACAGTTTTCATAATTTGCAGTTGGACGAGACTGTAAATTATTTTGCATTACCAAAGTTTTCATAATGGAACATTGGTGAAAACTACATTTTCACTTTTTTTACTTCATATATGGTGATTATATACTAAGTATTCCTTATAGTAGAAAGGATGTTTTATGTGAAAACAACATTATTTCTTAGAAGTTATTAATTGTATTGATCCGAAATAGTTTGTTTATATTTTGGGGAATTTAATATATAATTTTACGTTTATAATAAATCAAATTATTATAAGTTATAAATTAGGATTCTATAAAAAAATTCTCCAAAAAAATCTTCAAATATATATAAACTATTTTAAATCAATACAACCATAATTTATAAATTTTGTAGCAAGCTTTGTTTTTTTTTTTGTTTTTTCACATAAAACACTCCTTCTAGTATAAGGAAGACTTAGTACATGATCACCTCGTATGAAGCAAAAGAGGTAAAAACCAAATTTTCCTGAACATTGTATTATGAAAACCTCGTATATGCTAATTAATAGTGAACAATCATGTGTCCAACTACTAATTAATAATTTATACAATAGTTCAACTGAAAATACGAAAAATTCGCCAAAGTCCAACTATGAATATGAGAGTACAACTGGACAACTATGACTATATCCAGCCGCCAAATCCAAACGTGCATTTTACTCAGGCCCACAACTGTGCACTTTAGTCGGACCTACAACTGTGCATTTTACGACACGTAGGATGATTTTAAAACATTTTATATTGAAACATTTTATATTTTTTTTATTTTTTTTTTCTACTTTTCTTCTTTCTCAGTTTATCTAGTTGGACCGAATAATTAGATCTCAGTTGTACCTAATAATTGCAGTTGTACCAAAATATCATCAAAGTACATAAACAAAAGATATAGTTTACCATATATAAACATCAGTTTCGTTGGATCTGTAGTTTTCAGTTTCAGTGTCCGCTTCATCTTCTTTCTCTCAAGTAGTGGGTTATTGGATTTGGGTCGAATTATTTTGGTTGGGTCTGTAGTTTCCAATCATCTAAAAGGTACATTTCCATCGCTTTTGATTTTTTAAAAAATGGTAAATAAAATTACAAAGAAGACGGTGGCATTCTAGCATTTTTTTCCGGAGAAAGTGGCTTTCTAGCCATTGTTTCATCTTCATCAGAGATCAACCCAACTTCACTCAATGCTGATGATGCAGTCTCAGCTCTTAAAAAGCATAAATCAAAGTGAAAGAAACCATTACCACCGTGGGTCGTTCGATTGCAACTAAATAATGTGAATCATTTCCAGTTCAACAATGGAAGGTCTTCGAGAATCTGAGCATCTCTTCGTCAATAAGGACCTCGTCGTGCGTCTCTCTCTCTCTCTATTCATCTATATATTTCCTTATCTGTGTTGCAGACATTAAACGATAGATAAAGGAAATGATGTCATGTGATCATCTCAATTTAGGATTTTCCTGGTTTATGTCTGCTACACTAAACCCTAAATGATCGATCCTCTTCAGTAGTAGCTTAAGAATCTCCATGGTCAAAAAGGCTTCTTTATTTTCTCTCACTAATATCATTGTTGCTTTTTTTTTATGGCTGGATTAGGAATTTTAGTTATCAATGGAGCAATTGGCACAAACCCTTTTTCTGATTTTAGTCTTTTTCACATGACAGGATGATTATGTCGAAATTTCCGGTAAAGATGATACATCAGAAAGTTCCAATGTCAAAAGGAAAGTTGAAAGTCTCTTCTGTGTTATGAGAAAGAGAACTTGTAGGCACAACTCTGTCGATGATGATGATATGTTTCCGGATTTAGATAATAATGCAGAGAAAGGTGATGGTGATGAGGATATACGAAATTGTCTGAGACCTGAAAGTGACTTCTGGTTTGAAAATCTTACGGATAGTCCTTATGATCCATTGGATGAAGGTACCATTGTAGACGACAGTGGCAGTGACACAAACATATCTGAATCTTCAGAATTTGATGTTATATCGGAACATGTTCTAGAAGAAAATGATTTGGTAACGGGATCGAAATCTTTGGCTATATGGTCCAGTGAGGATAAGGGAGCTCTGGTTAGTAAATGGTCTTTAGAAACTCGGAATTCTATCTTGTTGTTATCTCCTGATGAGCATGGTGTAAGGTCTAAAGAAGATGAGGTGTTATCATCTGTTTCTGCATCCACAAAGAAATTACAGCATATCATTGATCCCCAAATTATCTCTGGACATAGTAATGACATCTCTCTCTTCCATATAGAACGGAAAAAAGATCGAATATTCTGCATCACTGGGCATTGTGAAGATATATTGAGGTGCAGTGTCAACAAAGAAGATTCAGAAATCCCATGCAATTTTGATATCTTCAAGAATGATGGCGACAAATCATCTGCAAATGAAGTTAGATGTGGAGATGTCATCAACATGCAGGGGTCTATGGAGATAATGTGCATTAATGATGAGCTTACACTGTGGAATAAAGACAATGAACCAATACCGATCAGCATTGTTCCTCCTGATGGTTGGGAAAGCGTATTGCTAGAAACATGTTCACTTCATCAGATAGACAGATGTATAAATGAATACAATGTTCGTGATGATAACATTGGCCTTGAAATATCTCCAATACCTTTAACAAAAACTCTGGAAAGACCTAGTAGGCCATTGTCAGTTTGTGGCTCTATAGCTGCAGTCAGAAACTTACCTCTAATGGAAGATAGCTCAGGTGCTTGTAGTTCTTTGGATGAACAAGTATATGCAAATGCTAATAGCTCTGAGGACAGGGACGCAGAACTTGCTCAAACCCCATCAACTCTATATCAGGAAGAAGTGGATGGAGAAGATGAGATTGACATTGATGCAATGGTAAACCCTGATTACTCTATACACAATCGTGTCACAAATTATCATTCAATGTGTTTTCTGATCTCTGATATCACATGAAAACATCTCCAGATCCGCAAATTGAATCTAGTCCCAGATGATTCAGATTCATGCTTCAACAGGGAAGGTAAACCGTATGGCTTATGATGTCCAATCAATCATGTAACTAATTCACACTGTTGCATCCAAAGAGAATGTAAAAAAAAAAAACAGTTATGTCTCTCTCAAACTATAGTTGTCTCAATTATGGTTCGCTTCATGATACCTAGAATGGAACATATATAAGCACCCAAGACACGCCTTAATTGGATTGGAACACTGCACAAGAACTTCATTGCAAAGAGCAAATATGTTTCATGGGGCAATTGCCATCCTGCATTGTCGTGATTCAAAGCATTTTGTCAGAAAACGCGAGGTATGTTAGACAAAACATTTTCTTCTGTCTTGATGTTTTCATGTCGTCTCAAGTCCTCTTAGTTACATGGCAGAAGATCATTTATTTGTCATAGGTAATTATTGGGAGATCATCTGATGGCCTGAATGTTGACATTGACTTGAGTAAATATAATTATGGGAGTAAGATATCTCGGCGTCAGGTGATCCTCTTTCCCTTTCCCAAATTAAAATTAGTTCACTAGTTAAGTTCTTAATTACCATCTTGCTAATGTGCTATATTTTCTATCTCTATATTAAGGCATTGGTTAAGCTAGAGAACAACGAATCATTCTCTCTAAAGAACCTTGGAAAGCGACATATTCTTGTAAATGGAGAAAAACTCGATACAGGACAGATTGCAACCCTCACATCGTGTAGTTCAATCGATGTAAGTCCGAGCTTATGCTTTGCACTAGTGTGTTTATGCATCTTTCTTTAACTAGAACGCCCAAATTTTGCAGATTAGAGGAGTAACCTTTGTGTTCAAGATTAACAAAGAAGCCGTGAGACAATTCTTGAAGAACAACACACGAAGAAAGACCGAGGAAGACACCAAATTCAGATGGTGCGAATAGATTCTGTTAAATTCTCTTTTGCTCTACCACTCTCTGCATAGTCTTAATGACCCATCCACATGATTTAAATGTCCAACCTGACTTAGGGTTAGGAGTTTAGACACCTAATGCCAATGAATGAATGATCCCATCATATCTGTGTTAATGCCTTGAAGAATAAACTTTGTATAGAGTTTCCCAAGTGAGAACTTCAATTAACATTTCGTACATTTTGACCAATCTCTATTAGGAAGATTTGTTCTGTAACTCTTTCAAGCTAAAACCTTACCGTAACAAAAGCTCCCTGTTCATCCAACTCTATGAAAGATCTGCTGCGACGTATCGGTTCAATCTCTGTTCTTGATTTCTTCTTCCGCATTTTCCACTTCTTCCCAATCGATTTTCCTGTAACCATGTTTCCTCTGTCAGCTTCTATTCAATTACTTATGCTTCTTCTATTACCAATTTAGAGTCTCAACAGTGAAGATCAGCTTCTTCTCTAATCTCTATCAACTTCTACTCAATAACTTGTGCTTCTCTTACCAGTTTTTAGAGTCTCAGTGGTAGTAGTTAATCCATCATCTTATTTTCCGTTTGATTAAACTTGATTGGTATACTTTGGTTTAAGAGTGTTGGTTTAGTTAAACCAGGATTTGAGTTCAATCATCATCATCATCATCATCATCATCATCAGTCAAATCAAAACTCTACGAGAGAGAGAGAGAGACTGAGAAATTCATGGCGGAAGCTTGCAGAGTGCGGAGGATGAAGCTAGGAAGCCAAGGCCTCGAGGTATCGGCGCAAGGCCTTGGTTGCATGGGCCTCACCGGTCATTACGGTGCTTCCAAGCCGGAAACTGAAGCCATCGCTCTCATCCACCACGCTATTAACTCCGGCGTTACTTTCCTTGACACCTCTGACATGTATGGTCCTGAAACTAATGAAATTCTCCTTGGAAAGGTTCGATTTTGTTAGTATCTGATATTTCATTTCGTTCTCTGCTGGGAAAACTTAGAGATGGGAATTAGCCTTGATTTGTTTGAGCTTCATAGCTTTAGAAATGATTGGTCACTTGTTGAAACTTCGAATTCTGTTAGGCTCTTAAGGATGGTGTGAGGGAGAAAGTGGAGCTTGCGACCAAATTTGGAATTAGCTATGCAGAGGGAAAGAGGGAAATTAAGGGAGATCCTGCCTATGTTAGAGCTGCTTGTGAGGCTAGTTTGAAGCGGCTAGATGTTTCCTGTATTGATCTTTATTATCAGCATCGGATCGATACCCGTGTCCCTATCGAAATCACTGTAAGCCCTCCTCTTACTTTCAATTGAAATGGACGTTACTTATACTTCAGGTGGGCTTGAGTGTGTCTCAGTAAGCTTCACATCTTTGGATTGGTATATGTTTTGAGATGATGTTTTCTGCTTAGGTTACTCTTTTAGAAATTGCTAGCTTATTCATATAGAACCGACTTCTGGTGAAAGTATCTCTCATCTACCACTTAAAAGCCACCTTGTGAGGATAGGGTGCCCTTTAGAGTTTAGACTTATAAGCCATTTACTTAGACACTTTTCCTTCCAATGTGGGATCTTATCATCTCCCTTAATGATTGTTCGTTTAAATAGAAGATCCTCTCTAGTTCGATTGCCATACTTCCTGACCTTTATATAGAAAGCTGTTTTGCTGAACTTAACAAATGTTTTGTCTGTCAATTCCAAGATGGGAGAACTAAAGAAGCTGGTTGAAGAGGGTAAAATAAAGTACATCGGTTTGTCTGAGGCCTCTGGCTCGACTATCAGAAGAGCGCATGCTGTTCACCCAATTACTGCCGTGCAGTTAGAGTGGTCCCTGTGGACGAGAGACGTGGAAGAAGAAATCGTCCCAACCTGTAGGTATGCAGATTTCATCCTCCTTTCATGATGCATTAATTCATCAATCATGTAACGTCTTGTCTTCTTTCTTCAGGGAACTTGGGATTGGGATTGTTTCTTACAGTCCTCTTGGACGAGGTTTCTTTGCATCGGGACCCAAGCTTGTTGAGAACCTAGTCAATAATGACTTCAGAAAGGCAAGTACACAGCCTTTTTATGACTTATTTGATTGATTAACCTTAAAGAAGCGGTGGATAAATCAAATGACTTTATATAAAACTCAATTATTGCAGGCTCTACCAAGATTCCAACAGGAAAACTTAGACCACAACAAGATTCTCTACGAGAAGGTTTGTGCAATATCAAAGAAGAAAGGATGCAGTCCCGGACAACTAGCCCTCGCATGGGTTCACCACCAGGGAGATGATGTTTGCCCCATCCCAGGAACCACTAAGATTGAAAACCTCAACCAGAACATTGGAGCTTTATCAGTGAAACTCACTCCTGAAGAGATGTCTGAGCTCGAGACCATTGCCCAACCAGAGTCTGTGAAAGGAGAAAGATACATGGCAACAGTGCCAACCTTCAAAAACTCTGACACTCCACCGTTGTCTTCTTGGAATGCTGTGTAAAACTGTCTCAGAGTTTTCTCTGGCCAAACCGATTGTTTAAAGAGTTTAAATGTGGTTCTGGCCAAAGGATGATTTATGTACCCATCTTATATACTGTGACTAGTCTTACAATAACTCTTACAAGCTAAAGGCTTACCAAAACAAAGGTTATCTGTTCAATCTCCTCTGCTCTGATTTCTTCTTCCGCATTTTCCACTTCGCCTTTACCAATTTTTCTATACCCATGTTTCCTCTACCAGCTTCAATCCAATTACTTATGCTTCCCTAGCTACCAATTAATCAGCTTCTTCTCTTTGAACTTCTAGTCAACAACTTCTATAGTAAAAACATCATTGTTATTTTCGGTTTTGGTTAATTATGCACTTCATCATCAACTTGAAGTTCAACAACTCTGCTCGCGCGAGGGAGATGAATCCATGGCAACTTGCGGAATGAGGAGGATAAAGCTGGGAAGTCAAGGCCTTGAGGTATCGGCGCAAGGCTTTGGTTGCGCTCACTACGGTCCTTCAAAGCCGGAAACTGACGACATTGCTCTCCTCCATCACGCTAATATCTCCGGTCCTCACACCAATGAATTGCTCCTCGCCAAGGTTTTGATTTCGATCAGTTTCGAGAGATTGTTAGAGATGTTTGGGGTTTGTGTGTTCTCATTTGGTCGAATCCCAAACAACAAAAACTTGGCATTGATTCTTTTCATGAATTTCATATTTGTAGTATGTAGAGATGATGATTACATTGTTGAATTTGTTTAACTCTGCCAGGCTTTGAAGGATGGTATGAGGGAGAAAGTAGTGCTTGCTACCAAATTTGGATGCATTTTGGTTAAGGGAAAGAGAGATGTTAGAGGAGATCCTGAGTATGTTAGAGCTGCGTGTGAGGCTAGTTTAAAGCGGCTAGATGTTTCCTGCATTGATCTTTATTATCAACATCGGGTCGATGCGCGCGTCCCTATTGAAATCACCGTAAGCCCTCCTCTTGCAAATCCTCATCCATGCCATTGTTTCAAAGTTTTCAAGTCAGTTCGTCTTAGTCTTGGGAAATGATTGAACTAATAGGCTCTCTGACAGTAGATTGGAGGCGATGATATTCGCTTGCGTCACTTTAAGTGAACATTGGAGCTTTATCAGTGAAACTCACTCCAGAAGAGATTTCTGAGCTCGAGACCATTTCCCAACCAGAGTCTGTGAAAGGAGAAAGATACATGGCCACAGTGCCAACCTTCAAGAACTCCGACACACCACCGTTGTGTTCTTGGAATGCTGTGTAAAACTGTTTGTGAGTTTCTCTGGCCAAACCTATGGTTTTAAGAGTTTAAGGTGGCTCTAGCCAAAGGATGATTTATGACTTTATGTATAGAATACATTATTTTCTACCCATCTTATACACTGTGAGTCTGTGACCAGGTCTCTGCATAGTCTTAGTGATCCATATCAGCATGATTTAAACGTCCCACCTGGCTTAGCGTTAGGAGTTTTAGACACCTAATGGCTAATGCCAATGAGTATTCCCATCATATTTGAACATTTTCCACTTCTTCCATTTAAAACTTAGCTAGAGCCAATGATTTGGAACCAGCCTACAAGACTTCCAAGTAGACAAACTATAGGTGACAAAAGATAAAACTTGCCACGTACAGTATTCTCAAATAAAGAACACAAATTGTAGATAAGAACATGAAGACCAAAAACTACCTAATAATACAAAACTTGCCTACTCAAGAAGACATGACTCGTTGACTCAGGATTCAAGACCATGAAAAAAACAAATAATCGATTAGGTGAAGACTACTGAGCACAAAGTGTTGACACATCTTTGAAGATATATCACTCAAACACGTACGTATACATAGTTCTCATGTAAGACTAAAAGAAAGATCTTTTGTAAAAGCACTTTTGTAAAAGAAAGAGGCAATTTGAGAGTTTTTTTAATCACACCACTCATCAACCCAACTTCAACAACTACTCCACTCAGTTCTAAACTCTACAAAAGAGAGAAAGAGAGAGTGAGATTTGTGACAAAAATCCATGGCTGAAGCTTGCAGAGTGAGGAGGATGAAGCTAGGAAGCCAAGGCCTTGAGGTATCGGCACAAGGCCTTGGTTGCATGGCCCTCTCCGCTCGCTACGGTGCTCCCAAGCCGGAAACTGAAGCCATCGCTCTCCTCCACCATGCTATCAACTCTGGTGTTACTTTCTTTGACACCTCTGACATGTACGGTCCTGAGACCAACGAGTTGCTCCTAGGCAAGGTTCGATCTACGACTTTATCTTTTTTTATTCAAAAGATTGTCCTAGATATTTTGGTTTTTTATCTTTTAGGAAACAAACTTAGACCACAACAAGATTTTGTATGAGAAAGGTTTGTTGAAATTCATTGTATTGTCAGGCTCTGAAAGATGGCTTAAAGGGGAAAGTGGAGATTGCGACCAAATTTGGATTCTTTGTAATAGAGGGGGAAATTTCCGAAATAAGAGGAGATCCTGAGTATGTAAGAGCTGCGTGTGAGGCAAGTTTAAAGAGGTTAGATATTGCCTGCATTGATCTCTATTATCAGCATCGTGTCGATACTCGTGTTCCTATCGAAATCACTGTAAGCCTCCTCTTTCCCAATCCTGCTTCATTCTATGGTTTCAATGTTTCCAAGTTACCAACAGTTTCTTTGTCTGTGAATTCCAAGATGGGAGAACTTAAGAAGCTAGTGGAAGAAGGTAAAATAAACTATATTGGTTTGTCAGAAGCTTCAGCTTCAACTATCAGAAGAGCGCATGCTGTTCACCCCATAACCGCTGTGCAAATAGAATGGTCCTTATGGTCGAGAGACGCGGAAGAAGATATCATTCCAACCTGCAGGTGTGAAGAATCATAACTAGACATAAATTTCATGCTTGTTTACATGTTTTATTCACAGTTTCTTTATATTTCACCAGGGAACTCGGGATTGGAATAGTAGCTTATAGCCCTCTAGGAAGAGGCTTCTTAGCATCAGGACCCAAGCTTGCGGAGAATCTGGAAGACGATGACTTCAGAAAGGCAACTACTGTTATTTGCATTTGAATACATGATTGATGAACCTTTGCTCATTTGTGTTCTTTATCGCAGACTCTACCAAGATTCCAACAGGAAAACTTAGACCACAACAAAATTCTCTTTGAGAAAGTATCTGCAATGTCTGCGAAGAAAGGATGCTCTCCCGCACAACTAGCCCTTGCATGGGTTCATCACCAGGGAGCTGATGTTTGCCCCATTCCAGGAACCACGAAGATCGAAAACCTCAACCAGAACATTGGAGCTTTATCAGTGAAACTTACTACCGAAGAGATGTTTGAGCTCGAGTCCCTTGCCCAACCAGAGTCTGTGCAAGGAGAAAGATATATGGCCTCAGTGTCCACCTTCAAGAACTCCGACACTCCGCCGTTGTCTTCTTGGAAAGCCGCTTAAAACTGCATGAGAGTTTCTCTGGCCAAACCGCAAAAATAACATGTTAAGAGTTTGTGTTCATGTTCAGAGTCTACAAAAATAATATGTTAAGAGTGTGTGTTGAATGTTCAGAGTCTTCAATGTATAGTTTATATGCATCTTATAATCTGCGACCAACCTCTAATCTAAAACATTACATTCACCATTTCAACCATTAAGACAAATCTGTCTGATTTGAGAGAAACAGCTCATGGAAAAAAGAGGAGCCATACCATATGGCAGCTGATTTGAGGTTAAGTAAAATATGAAATGCCTCTGAAAACCAAACCTTACAAAGATGTGTTCTTGATACAAACTTGATGTAACTCTCATCTAAAACCTTACAGAAACAGCTAATCTATACAACCAACTTTAACACGGATCTGTGCAACGAATTCATATCTTGGATTGACCGCCAAAGCATTTTGGCACCGGAAAAATAATCAGTTTCGGAGACGTGAAAGGATTTGCAAAAGGATTTTTGGCTAGCCTGCGGTTCAGTGTTTATATTAGCCGACAGCACAAAGGGTTCCCACAAGATCCCATCTTGTTCAATCTTGTGTTTTGCAAGAGGGTTTAGCAGTTGACAAAACCATCATCTTTCGTCTGGGTAACGTTGAACAGCTGCCATTTACAGGAGATTTCTTGTGCTAGTTCCTTTAGCATTGGTCAAAATCCAGTATCCTACCCCATCAGTTTCTTGGCTCCTGCTTCAGATAGATGCTTGAGGGAATGGTATAAGATCTCGGCTGAGACAGACAGATAAACAACAATATATTTTAACATTAAACGTGGTGTGAAGCAAATGATACATCATTCACCCAGATCTAAAGAAATGTTTATGTACAAGATCACAGTTCCCTAAAATACTAGAAGCCGACTTTTGTGGGTTATGGAAGTCCTATTATTTGAAGCGATTAGACATTTTTTCATGAAACAAAGGCAGATTTGGTAGGGGAAGAATTTCAGGTTTTTAATCCCCTTAATAATCAGGAATATCCACGTTCAGAGAAAATGCAAGATTGCTTACCTGTGTTGTACTCGTCATTAAACTGCTTGCAAGCTCATTGTTAATTGAGACAGGCAAAGGCGGCATCCGGCTGATGATACCAGGCATCTCCTTCATGCTGCAGTAACGATAAGTAAGAGTATAGTAAATCAAGATTTCATAGACGAGAAGGAGAAAGACACAGAGGAAAGTATCATTAGTGATTCAACATGCTATTAGATTGACATACTCATTCAAGATGGCACTGATGTTATTTCTTGCCATATAAAACAGACTGACGTTATCCTGTAGCTGAATGCAGAAAGTAGGATGTCAGGATGGGAATTCCATTACGAAAGGACAAGAAATGTACCCCAACCAAACAATGAGTTACAATGAATAAACACTGTGCATGTGAAAAATATGATCTACAATCTTTTTTTAGTCAATTTTCTGCTCATGCCAATCTTTTTCTCTACCAAGTAGCATTTGGATCAGATACAAATCAATTACCTTGCACACAGAAAGGTTTGAAGAAATTTGACTGAAAGCTTGAGCATTCTGCCGTAGACGCTCCATAACCGCATCACTTAGACCTAAGAGAATAAAAGTTTGGAAAATATATGAGACCTAAAGAAGTAAAGATGTGACAGGTGAGAAAAAGGTATCTAGCTAACTAAGGAGATGAAACAATAATTGAGAGACTCCAGGAACTCTTCAACATCGATAATGCCTAGATTCAGGCATCAACAAGATGAACTACAAATTGCCTAGTACATCTGACTGCTATTTCGGAAAATATGCAATTTGTCTTCCTAGAATAATCCTTCTTTACAGATATATCCTTTTCAGGAGAGAGAAGAAGGAAATAATAGCGACAATACTGTTATAGTGTAACCCAAATAGTACTAACCTTCAAAAGGCATGCGTGCACTCTGGCACATATGGTTTATGGCATATGTAGCATTTTGTTGAGGCAAAGTCGAAAACATGTTCAGTTTTGGGGGTAAATCCACCACCTAAATCAAAGAAATCAGTTACGTGAGTGTTGGGTTTCTCAAGTAGAAAATGGTTGTAGCTGTATGAACAAAATTCCATTTGCAGCCAATAACCTCTTGTAAAGAAAACTATAACCTAGGACATCTACCATCATCTGTTTATTTAGTAACATTACATACCTTTCTATAACTAACCGTCGTGCCGGTACTATGTTCTTCCCCTTTTCTTCGTTTTTGCTGAAAAAACGGATTCCATTCTTAGCCCAGACAAACTCAAAGGTCATGAGTTAAATAGTTGAAAGATAAAATAATAGCAAACTAGAGTTATTATAAATGTTAAAAAGGGGCAATGTCAAAACTTATATTAGTACGAGTCATATATCTGCTTGTACAACTCAAGTCATAAAATATCTATCCATTTCTTCAGCCCAACTTCATAGAAGAAATCTGACTGGATAGACAGTATGGATAAGCCGATAAGGTAATCTGTTAACTTCCTTTTCCAATCTTATTATGCGAGTCTAACACTACAGTGTAGGCCATACTGCAGACAATATAACCAATGTTTAATCATCGCTTCATAACTCAAGAGTCGGCCATATGAAATCTTATCTTTCATAAAGGTAACATATCAAAATAAACTTCAGAAAGTCGAAAAAAACCCAAGGATATCTGACATCACCCATTTGGCGAATTTAGATTCAGGGTAACTACAGAAATCAAATCAAGCTTTAGGGTCAAATCTAGTTCCAACATGACTCCATAGCTAATAGAAAGCCAGATCTATCGTCAGCAATACTTGTTATTCCTCCTCTTATACACTCTTAACCATACTTTAAACAACCTTTATGATATGGTAAGGTGTCTTTTCATCAATAGAGCAATAGAGAACTTTAAGCCTAGCTTATAGCCAAAAAAATATAAAAGAACTTTTCCCATAGGACTTTATCTTTAACAAAGCATACACCCAAAGTAGCATCACCATGTTGGTTCCCCATTTTTCATCTCCCAAGCAAAATGACGTTACCAAATAACAAGAAATCTGCAAGCCACTTACTGAAACTTAATGACAATGCATTAGAAACTTACCGTCATCCATTTACATCTCATTGCTACATCCCGTACACTTTTCTCTGGTAGAGTTGCTGCGATCTTTACATACTTCGTAACTTGTGGTACATCTTTAAATCTACAAAATACATGACAAATGTTTCAGGCAAGCAAAAAAAGCAACAAAAGGTAATAAACTAAAATTGAAACACAGAGTAAAAAAAAGAAAAACTCAGGCAGCTCTCCTAGAAAACCAAGGGTACAAAACTGATATATCTATAAGAATCTGAATCGGCTTATGAATTCGAGATAACAACATGTGCTATAAGTCTATAACAGTTCATATGAAATACAAATGTAAAACCTTTTCCTTTATCTACTCTACCATTGTGTAATAGCTACGAAGTAAGAAAATTTGCAGAGAACAAAGAACAATGAAGAATAACAAAAACACTTACTTTGCAAGACCTTTCTCCAATACATACTGCTCCTCAACAGACCAATCAACAGCCAAAGAAGCTTCATGTTTGAGTCCAGTAACCGAAGTCGGAGAGTTTACAGTTAGGTGGAATCCAGAGGAAGCATTCATGCTTGAATTTGCCGAAAATACTAAACCGGTCGTGCTAGTGCTCGGTACGCAATAATTATCCATTGGAATCATCACTCGAAAGTTTCTTCACAGTAAGTAATTTGACCTACAACGAATCACGCCCAAAAACATGTTCAATTTAGGGTTTTAGCAATTCAGAATCATACGGAAAGATTCGATTAAAACTCAACAGAAACCTAAAAGAGTTAAACTTGAGCAAAACCCACCTCGAATTTAGCTTAAAAAGAAGACGAGTATGCTTCTCCGGAGCTATAGATGTCGTCGATGCAAAACCCTAAACCCACAACGATTGGTGATGCAAGTAGAGATTTTGAAATCGTGAAGCCACAAATTTCAGAGAGATCGCAATAGAGATGAAAAAAGATTAAGAATTGTGATTCGATTCGCGAGAGAGTGATGACAGCAAGATGCGAAGAACTTTCGAATTGCAGAAGCTGGCGAGGAGAGAGAGAGAGAAATGGTGGTTTAGTTTTGTTGTTTTGTATTGGTTTATTCTTCGTGAAGCAGAACCACTTTTTATTCCATTGTGGTGGTTTTGCTTTTTTGTTTTGTCCACTCTTTGAAGAAAGATGGTTTGTTCCTGATTATTTTTATCTTTTTACGCTATCTTGTGAATTACACAGTCACATACACTTTGGAACTTTTTTTTTTTAATCGATATTTAAATTACAACAAGGTGTTAGAAATCATAAAGTTGAGTATCCATTTTATTTCGTTTGTCTTAAGCAAAAGTTGGGTGAAATATTATGACATTTGTTATGGAGGGAAAAAAAAAATATGACATATATACTAGTATTTTTGCAGCACTTTGGTGACGGATGGGTAAAAACGCTCTCGGGTTATTTGGATATCCGACCCGTTTTAAAAAATCCTTCACAAAAAATTTGTTGGGTTGGATTATATTTAACCCAACTCATACACCGGATATTCCATATTTAATAATTTAGATATTTAGAAGATTTGATTAAGATTTAGAATTATGATTCTCCTATCATCTTTGTTTAATTTGTTTTTAACTGTTTTGAATCATCATATAATACATAAAGTAAAAAAAAAAATTAATTTTTTTTCTGCATATACAGTGATTCGAAATTTTAGAAACGGATATATATTATCTAATTGACGAAAATGTGTGTTCAACGTTCTACATCGATTAAAATATTTAGACAATGATTCAGAATCATATCATGAATAAGATCAACATTAATAAAATAAATGAGTTTTTTGGCCTGACGAATTTGGCGGGACGGATTTTTGAATCAACAATAATAAAAAGATTAAAATATCATTAATCTGCCGCTTCAATACGGATTAAATCCTTTTTTTTAATACCACCAATATTAGACATATTAAATCAGTCTCATTTAGAAAAGAATTAATAAAACCAAAAATTGTCCCGTGGTATAATGTTACTTAATAACAATATTTATAAAATTTTAAAATATCATTAACATGCCGCTTTAATACATATTAAATCTTCAGTTTATTAAAATATAAATGTCTTAGAGAATGATACGATTTGTAAACTTTTATATATAATAAATAATCATTAAATTTTAAAACAAAAACAAATCACGGGACGGGTTAAGAAATTACGGAACGGGTTATATTTCGGAAATGATTTATATGGCGGACGAATTTGAATCAATATTTATATACCGCTTTAATACGGGTTAAATCCTCAGTTTATTAATAATTGTCTTGTGGACTCGTGGTATACCGTTACTTAATAACAATTGTAAACTATAATATAAATAAATATATTATAAGGAGATACAATTTACAAAATATTTTTATACCAACTTTAAAATTAAATCATCCCGCGGTATACCGTGGGTTAAAATCTAGTTTGTTATTATATGTGTTACTTCACACATGTATTTGTTGTAGAGCTATACTTATGTATTTTCATGTTTACTTACTTATCATAGTAATAAGGTGAATAATAAAAGCCTTAAAAACGGATTAGGCTATTTTATGGCAGACAACCAATTCACTATAGACCAAATTTATTTTTGATTTAGTTGGATGATGTAGGAAAAGCGGAGTAAACCGTTAACAGACTAACCCACTCTATTTGTGAAACAAACAACAAACCGCCGCCGACCAAATTTATCTCTACGTAATAGCGATTTATAGTTAGCCCGTCGCAGACTTGTTCTATTTATTTCAACCCACACTACTATGAATTATAGTTTATGAATGGTAAACAAAAAACGGTTCAAACCGCAAACAAATTTATTTGTTCTAATCGCCGCAACCATTCGAACCCTCTATGTAAAAGCGGTTTGTAATTGGTCAGCGGCAAATTTCTTTTATATATTTGTTATAGAATATAATTTATGAATGGTAAATAAAAAATGATTTAATCCACAAACGAATTCGTCTGTTCAACCCAAAATAATTGACCACTAGAAACTAGAAACGTAAAATACATGGCCATGACCAGCTGAACACAAGAAAACCGCATCAAAACACACAACAAGTCAACAACTAATAGAAAGCCTTTATCCCTAGTTCATTGATTTGGCATTTGAAACCTTAGTCACAAGATTACTAAGCATTATTTATAAGCTGTTTCTTTTTACTCTGAAATTGCAATGGCCATCACTAGAGTAAGGTGTATAGTTTGTAATCACATATGAGCCATATTAAAGAGTTAAAGAAGCAAAGGAAAACAATTCCTTGTGCTGCTCCACAGAAAATCTGCATCTGTATACACTTCTTCCTCTTCCTACTCTAATTACATATCCAAAATGCGTAAAAAAAAAACCATAAAAGAAGAGACTTTGTTAGAAGTCCATTAGGGGAATTTGATTAGAATCACTAGCAACTTCTAATGAAGAAGACAAAGATAAATGTTGTGTTTTGACTTTTATGCCCCTAATCGTTCAAAACAAAACCCTAAATTCAATCAATTGGGTCAGCAAACAGATCTAATCCTCCACCACCACACTCTCCAATTGTCTTCCAAGTACAGAAAGATGATAGCTGTGATCGGATTGCTTCTGGGTTTTCTAGTTTCAGCATTGTTCCTAATCCAAGGCAAGCGAAGTAGATCAAACGACAATCAAGAGAAGAAGAGGTCTAGTCACGAGCCTGTAGAGGTAAGACCAAAAAGTTACAGCAAGAGTGAAGTCGCAGTACATAACAAAAGGAACGATTGTTGGGTCATAATCAAAGATAGAGTCTATGATGTTACTTCTTATGTTGAAGAACATCCTGGTGGTGACGCCATTCTAGATCATGCTGGTGATGATTCTACTGATGGCTTCTTCGGACCACAACACGCCACTCGTGTATTCGACATGATTGAGGATTTCTACATCGGAGAACTTCTTAAGTAAGCAAAAAAGTTGGCTTTTTTATTCTCTTCTGATTGAAGATTTGAGATTGTAGAACCTTTTGTCTTGCTAGTATATCTCTTTCTTTTTCTTCCATTGTATTGCCAAAGTTTCCTCCTTTTCTATTAATTTTAATCGGAAATCTCGAGTTTCAGAGCTTAAAGCTAAGCTCTGTTTCAAGTGTTCTAAACTAAGCTCTGTTTCGAGTGTTCTAAATCCATCAATTTTGAGTTTAATCTATTGAATTTCTTGTGGGAAACAATTGGATCATAAGAACGTAACTCTTTTACTGTGATGAAGATTCGACAAAAAAGCATAGCAGAGATCTAGAATTCGAGTTCTATCTGATATGGGACCTAAATCCAAAAACAGAAGCATTAACCTCTGGTTTAACCCAAACGAACTACCAACGTTCATATGATGAAGGTCGGCCTCCAGCTCGGCTAGGACGGTCATAAGGACCTGGTCTGCTTCTGTAGGGTCTTCCCTCATCACGTATCGGTCCCATAGCTCCATACCTATCACTTGTATCCCTTGCGTATCTGTCCCTGTCATAGCTTCTCTCTCGCCCGCGATATTCATTCTCAAGATGATGTTCAGGCATCCCATACCTATCACTCACAAAACGGTCTCCAGGTGGTGCGTATCTACATTGTTAATGCATCAAAAGGTCATGACTTTCCCAAACGAATACATGTTGGAACACTTTATTTAGACCTGAGGACAACAGCTACAAACCTCTCAAATGGATAGTGATCACGAGCCTCATACTTGTCTCCACTCTCAAAGCGGTCCCTGTAGCTATATCGTCCCCCATCTCTGTCACGGCGTCCATCCATGTAGCGGTCACGCTCACGCTCCAGATCACGATCTCCATAGCGATCTCGGTGTCCATCGAATTCTCCAAGTCTAGAGCGCATCGCAAGGGAAACTCTGAACCGACCTCCTTCGCCACCAGTTGATGGGCAGTCTCGAGCCCAATGACCAGGGCGTCTGCACTTAAAGCACTCATCCTCGCTTCCCTTCCCTCGAGATGAGTAGCCTCCACCTTTCTGTAAATGGTCTACATCGTCTCCACCAACTTTGGGCTCAGCTTTGTTCACCGAGATAACCCTATCTCCCAACTCCCTCCCATGCATGTGTTTAATTGCTTCATCAGCTCCTCTGCGATCAGTGAATGTGATAAACCCAAAACCACGTGGACGGCCAGTATCTTTCCCCACCATAATCTACAATTACACAAAGAAGACCAACAATGTTATTAAAATGCATATTGAGCCAGGAACAAGATATATTACTAAGAATCAGATGTTACATTAGAGTTAAGAAATAAGAAGATATATTACATTCCTATCTCTCATATAGCATGTCCTAGAAGTGGCAAACTCAGAACATTTAAAAGCAAACAGAAGACGGCAGCAAGATTCACAAATTTTACTTCATTTTAAGTCCTTAGAACCACACAACACAAAGTCAAATTAAATCAGCATACATGTAGAAATACTTATCCACAAGAAGTATCTCCACAACAATAAGCCTAGCAAAACAATGTTGGAGATTAGCCTCTAGCCAACCATACTTTAAACCCTTGCAACAGACATGTTACCTCAAATCAGTTTCCCATTATCTAATGTTCCCACAACAAATCCACAGAAAATGCGTTTTCCATGTAATTCCACCAAAAAAGAAGACTAATATTCTGATCAAGACCATTATTGACCAGAAACTTATCATCTTGGTGTATTGATAGACTACTTAGAGATGCTTCCATGTGCCAATAACTGTACTTTTACAATTACACCAACTAGCGGCTCATGGTGAATGAGTACAGGAAAACCATCTCAGTGACTACTAGTTGGTGTAAAAGATGGTTAGTCCTGGTTAGTCCTGGTTGGTGCAAACTTGCTGAAAAGAGAGCTCAGCTGCAATATCCAACAAAACACAGTGATGTCAAACCAAAACTACTGCACTGATGTTGAGACAAGAGCCAAGGCTAAGGGAACAGTATGGAGCACAGTCCACAGAGCATGATCTGAATCAAAACTCTTGCACTTCCAAGCATAAGGCTCTCAAACAGATTTTCCGATCAAGAGAAGGTAGAAATGCATGTTTACTTCCTAAGAAAGCTCTACTAATTCCTCCACTGCATCCTTCAACAAGTAAAAAAACCTCACTATATGCGTGTGCTCTTCAACAGAATAGATGATGGACTCTTAGGTTCATCAAACAAAACAATCCTACAATCTCAGAGATATTATTCAGTAAACACAAGTTCCAAAACGAGTCTCTGAGACTTCTGATCATCTGTTTGTATCACTCAATGTAAGCAGCAGAAGCAAAGTACGAGAATCGATACAAGACCTGACACTCAGTGATTTTCCCATAGCGGTCAAAAGTACTCTCAAGCTGTCTCTCTGTGACATCCCAGGACAATCCTCCAACGAAGATTCTGCTCTCAAGATTTCTATCGTTTTCTCTATCTTTCATTGTGAAACTCTCACTGAAACCAAAAGAGAAACAACAACAACGCATAAACATAGTTAACCCACAAAATCAAACTCAAGAAACCTTATAGAACTCATCCGTTTCGAAAGAATCACCCAAACTAGTAAACTAGTAAAACAAAAATCTATTGAAACTACGAATTGGGTAGAGAAACTTTCTGAAATCCCAAGTAAGAAAAAGAAACACCAGAAATCTTGATTTGATAAACCCTAATTACTCACCGCTAATCCAAAGGTCAGAACTTTCTGCGTTTTTGATGATTGGTGATGGACAAAGAAATAACTGCAGAGGATTGATTACCTTCAACTTAATTATATATAAGGGATAAAATGCTGTGAACTCAATGACTAAAACACCCTTCGAAAAGTTAGTTAATTACAAAAATAACCTATAAACCCTAAAACCCTTCTCTTTAGCAAGAAAGCTCTCCCCTTTTTTCAGTCTCCAAGCTCTCTCTTCTGCGGAACTTACGGTACGAAAGTCTCCTCTTTTCTATTCACTCCAATCCAAAGGTTGGTCCTTTTCGATTGATTTCGAGGAGGATTTTGATTTCTAAATTTGGGTATTGTAGGTTTTGTCTCTGTAGAGTAGAAGCACGAAGAAAGAAAAATGATAAAGAGACGATTTTACAAGCTTGAGCATGGTGATAAAGACAGTGGATCCGATTCATCTTGTTTCTCTTCTGATTCTGATCCTGAGACGGAAGAATCAGAAGAATCTGAAGAAGAAGACTCTGTTGCAGAAGTTTCTGAAGAAGATGATGAATCCTCAGGTTTGCTTCTTCAATTGAGCCATTATGTCTTTTAGTTCTCTTGTGATTGTACTTGATGAGAACCTTTGGAGAACGTAAGTGACGATATTTGCTTATTCTCTGTTATAGATGCTGACGAAGACGCTGATGTTGATGATGGTGATGGTGATGATAACTCTGATGCTGATGACTATGGTGGGACATTGGAGAAGATGTCAATGAATCGTTATTTAGAAGAACCACCGGAAGAGGAGGAAGAGAACTATATTCTAGGTTGCATGATACAATCCAAATCGGTTTATAAATGCAGATATTGTCCAACAGTTGTTTGCTTGAATGAGACCACAATGCAAGCTCATGTTTCATCAAAGGTAAATTACTTTGCTTTGAACTAGAATGGTGTGTTTTTCTTTTTGGAATCTAAGAAGTAGATAATAAGAACGAGATTTGTTTTGAGCTTTTTCTTTGTAGTCTTGTAGTTGATCGAATTGTATTTGTCATTTGACTCATTTCAGAAGCATGCTCGTATGGAGAAATTAGTGAAAGAAGGAAAGGTCAGAACTGATGACGAAGAATTTGAAGATCAAGAGACAGCATCTCAGGTGACATAAGAGAAAATGCCAACGAGTACTTTGTGTTCTGTTGATGAGTCCTAACCAAATTCTTGCAAAAATCTTGAATTTAGGAGAAGCAGATTAAAGGAAACAGAAGATCACAAAGACAGGGAAAGAGATCCCAAAAACAGGAAAAGGTAAACGTAGCTTGCTCGTTACTGTAACCTTGTGAGCATGGTTAGTCGGTTTATCAATTGTTTTTTAATTTAAACATCCAGGGCTCATCAACCAAACATGAAGAAAACGAAGAAGTTGACGATCCAGAAACGCCATTTCAGGTGACATTTAAGAAAATGCCAACAAATGCTTTGTGTTATTCCAATGAGTTCTAACCAAAGTCTTGCAAAAATCTTATATGTAGGAGAAGCAGATAAAAGGAAACAGAAGAGCACGAAGAGAGCATAAGAGATCACAAAATCAGGAAAAGGTAAAATTTACCTGCTCATTTCTGTAACCTTGTGACCATGGTTGGCCTGTCAGAAACCTTACTGGTTCTTCTTTTAATATGAACATCCAGGGTTCATCGACCAAACATGGAGAAAAGGAAGAGGTTGACAATCCAGAGACCCCATCTCAGGTTTTTCTTTTTGACATCTGAGCAAATGCCAACAAGTGCTTTGTGTTCTTCTGATGAATCGTAACTAAATTCTTGCAAAACTCCTAAATGTTGGAGAAGCAGATAAAAGAAAACAGTAGAGCACGAAGACAGCGTAAGAGATTAGAAAAACAGGGAAAGGTAAAAGTAGCCTGCTCATTACTATAACCTTGTGACCATGGATGGTTTGTCAAAAACCTTATTGATTCTTCTTTTAATATGAACATCCAGGGTTCAATAACAAAACATGGAGAAAACGAAGAAGTTGAAGATCCAGAGATGCCATCACAGGTTTTCTTTTAGAATTCTAGCAAATGCAAACAAGTGCTTTGTATTCTTCCGCTGAGTCTTAACCAAATTGTTGCAAAATCATAAATGTAGGAGAAGCAGATAAAAGGAAACAGTAGATCACAAAAACAGCTTAAGAGATCAGAAAAACAGGAAAAGGTAAAGGTCACCCGCTCATAACTGTAACCTTGTAACCATGGTTGGTCTGTCAAAAACCTAATCGATTCATTCTTTCTTATGAATATCCAGAGTTCATTGACCAAGGAAGGAGAAAACGAAGATGCATCGCAAAAGTCTAGAAAGAAAAGACGTCAAACTAAGGATTGAAACCGGTGTATATCCAGCAATATGGTAGGCCAGAAAGATTCATCTTTCTTACTTGGATATCGATGGATAGATGAAGAAAAATAGGTTGAAAGTGAGTTGATTGTGTGATTTTTAAACTTCTAGTTTGGTCTACAAAATATGGTGCTTGTTATAAACTGATATGATTTTGATGAATTGAGTTATACAATTCTTGTGTTTCTTAACCATGGTTGTGTTTCTGTATTCTTTGTCATTCGAACCATTGCCCTACAGGATTAGACCTAGACTATTTCAAACATCATTACATTCTGTTTCACTGAAACCTTCTGGTACAGAATCAGTATTTTTGATTCTTCTCTAAATCGAATATCAGATTACTTGAAAGTTGAAACTATTTTGCTCCAGTAGCATCAATGATCTCTGGCATTTCCCTCTAAATTTTCTGTCATTTTTCTCTCCCCTAGTCAGCACTCAGCACTTGTCTTGAGAAAGTTCAAAGACTTGAGTGAAAAAGACAAAAACTTTAATATTTTCTTCTCTTCTTTTAATCTTTGTCTCCACCATATTCAATTATTGTCTACATATCTGTGTAAAATAGTGGAAGTGTACACACAAAATAATATTTATAAATGCATTGAAAAAGGGAACAAGTGAGACAAGTGAGATTTGATTAACTTCTCCCACTGCTCTTAAAGTGTGAAGAAGCATTGGCTTCACGTGACATCTTCGCTGTCATGTCCGTGATCGAGCTTCTTCATCGATGACATTTACAACAACTGATTCTATCATCACTTGTAAAAAATATCTTGATTCCATCATGATCTCTTCTTGTATGTTCTTCTTGATGTTTGCTTTCTTTTTTATTTCTCTGGTGAGATCAGACGATGTAGAAGCTCTACTGAGTTTGAAATCATCCATTGATCCTTCAAACTCGATTCCATGGCGAGGAACAGATCTTTGCAACTGGGAAGGAGTTAAGAAATGTATCAATGGAAGAGTCTCAAAGCTTGTTCTTGAGAATCTGAACCTCACTGGCTCACTCAACAACAAGAGCTTGAACCAATTGGATCAACTTAGAGTACTTAGTTTCAAAGGCAACTCTCTCTTTGGCTCAATCCCTAACCTCTCCTGTTTGGTTAACCTCAAATCTCTTTATCTCAATGATAATAACTTCTCCGGTGAGTTTCCTGAATCACTCACGTCTCTGCACCGATTGAAAACCGTTGTTCTTTCCGGAAATCGGTTTTCGGGAAAGATCCCTACCTCGTTGCTCCGTCTTTCCCGCCTTTACATGCTTTACGTTGAAGACAATCTCTTCTCTGGTTCCATTCCTCCTCTTAACCAAGCAACTCTCAGATTCTTTAATGTCTCGAATAATCACCTCTCTGGCCATATCCCACTTACACAAGCTTTGAATCGGTTCAATGAGTCGTCGTTTACCAGTAACATTGCTCTCTGCGGTGATCAGATTCAAAACTCATGCAATGACACCACCGGAATCACTTCAACTCCATCAGCAAAACCAGCAATTCCCGTAGCCAAAACGCGTAACAGAAAAAAGCTCATCGGAATCATTTCCGGAAGCATTTGTGGCGGAATTGTGATACTTTTGCTGACATTGCTTCTCATATGTCTGCTTTGGAGACGGAAACGAATCAAATCCAAAAGAGAAGAGAGGAGAAGCAAAGCCGTGGCAGAGTCAGAAGGAGCAAAGACGGCTGAAACAGAGGAAGGTAACAGTGACCACAAAAACAAAAGGTTCTCATGGGAGAAAGAAAGTGAAGAAGGATCAGTGGGGACTCTGGTTTTCTTGGGAAGAGACATCTCGGTGATGAAATACACCATGGATGATCTACTCAAAGCTTCAGCGGAAACGTTGGGAAGAGGAATGTTAGGGAGCACTTACAAGGCGGTGATGGAGTCTGGATTCATCATCACTGTTAAGAGGCTTAAAGACACGGGGCTTCCTCGAATTGATGAATTCAAGAGACACATTGAGATCCTTGGAAGGCTCACGCACCCTAATCTTGTGCCTCTCAGAGCTTATTTCCAAGCCAAAGAAGAGTGTTTGCTCGTCTACGATTACTTCCCCAATGGAAGTCTCTTCTCTCTTATCCATGGTATGTATTTTGCACACACACCATTGATTTTTGTTCTCTGAAGCTTGATGTGTTTTATCTGTGTCTTGTTTCTAGGAAGTAAAGTTTCCGGGAGTGGGAAGCCTCTTCACTGGACATCATGTTTGAAAATAGCAGAGGACTTGGCAATGGGCCTGGTCTACATTCATCAGAATCCTGGCTTAACGCATGGGAACTTGAAATCCTCCAATGTTTTGTTAGGTCCGGACTTCGAGTCTTGCCTCACGGACTACGGTCTCAGCGATCTCCATGATCCTTACTCGACTGAAGACACAAGTGCAGCCTCCCTCTTTTACAAAGCTCCTGAATGCAGAGACTTACGGAAAGCCTCAACACAACCAGCTGATGTTTATAGCTTTGGAGTCCTCCTTCTAGAGCTTCTAACAGGTAGAACTTCATTCAAGGACCTTGTTCATAAAAACGGGTCAGATATCTCCACATGGGTGCGTGCGGTGAGAGACGAAGAGACTGAATTAAGTGAGGAGATGAGTGCTTCTGAGGAGAAACTTCAGGCTCTTTTGAGCATCGCGACAGCTTGCGTGGCTGTTAAGCCGGAAAATCGTCCTGCGATGAGAGAGGTATTAAAAATGGTGAAAGATGCAAGGGCTGAAGCAGCACTGTTCTCATTTAACAGCAGTGATCATTCGCCTGGGAGATGGTCGGATACGATTCAGAGCTTGCCAAGGGAGGATCATATGAGCATATGATTCAAGTTGTTGCAGCCTTCTCCATTGTTTTGATTTTTGAAGTAGCTAGGGGTTCATAATCTTATACTCTCTGGTGTACTATATGCTTCCTAATTTGGATAATACCCACAATCACATTATCACAAGGGGTTGCTTAACAAAACTGAGTCTCTTTAATTAAGGAGAGGCTTACATGTCTTCTTCCACATTTACAAATATATTTTCCTTAGACCGAGACATTCACTTGCTAATGATGGGCTCATTTTTTTTCTTTTTGCTATGAATGTAAATATAATTAAGAAATAAAAAATTTAGGTATTACAAAAGTGCATTTTACTTACATATTTGAGACCTTGGCAAAAAAATTAAAAACAAGGTAACAAATGATTTGAGTACAATATGAGAGAGTTTCTTGTATCCATAGAAGCATTAACTTTCGAAAAAGCTTTTTGTGTCTTCTTGAAGTGATGATATTGCGGATTTTGCGATCCATGCTCTTCTGATCGTATGAGTTATGACCTAATTCATATGCACATCATTTCCTCTTAGCATCTGGACAAATCTCGTTTTCCCACCAAAACTCTAAATGCCTCCTTGCGTCCCAAGCAAAAGTATATGCTTTCCTTCTTCCTCAGTTCGTTGAGTCAGAAGACCAAACTTCCAATTCAACTATTTGGGGGAAAGATGCACGAGTTTTTTTTTTAATAACTAAAAGGTTCTGGACCTAGGGGCGCTGTACATCCCCTCAGATCAGAGACTAAAACATTTTATATGATTTCCTCCCAAGTGTCATTCGAACTGACAACCTCTTGGCTTTACATGAGAGTCTTTACCAGTTGAACTATTAACATTTGGTATAACTTGGTCTTTAATTGTGGGGAAAGACATCAAAACTAACTAATCCCACATTTGTTAATCAACCGCTTTTTGTTTGTATCCTTAATTTGTAAAACAATTAAGAAAAAACAATAAGGGTGTTTCCATCGATATCATTTAATAATCTTAATTAGAAATTAGTCTCTCTTTTTTGGCTAAACAAATTTCACTATATTCAAAAGAGTTATTACAAAAGACATATATAGAATTGCTTTAACACAATAATGTCTTTTGTAAGGCAAAATACAAGGTTTAAGCCTTTCCCTGGCTAGTCCTCCAGTATCCCACCTTCTATTCGCAGATGATAGCCTTTTCTTCTGTAAGGCAGACTGTCAACAGAGTGAAGAAATCATTACCATTCTCCGCCAATATGGCGAGGCTTCGGGACAACAGATAAATTTTGCCAAATCTTCTGTAATGTTTGGAAGCAAAGTTAACCCCAGACGAAAGCTGATATTAAGAGCATCTTGGGTATACATCAAGAAGGAGGGATGGGTACCTACTTAGGCCTCCCAGAAAAGATTCATGGTTCCAAAGCTCAGGTCTTTGCCTTTGTACAAGACCGGCTAAAAAGCCGAATTAATACTTGGTCAGCCAAGTTCCTATCAAAGGGAGGCAAAGAGATCCTCATAAAGTCAGTGGCTCAGGCCTTGCCGACGTACGTTATGTCGTGTTTTCTTCTACCAAAGAATATCCGATCGAAGCTGAGTAGTGCTATTTCTAATTTCTGGTGGAGCAATAAACAGGAAAGCAAGGGACTTCATTGGATTGCTTGGGACAAACTATGCTCGCCACTTTCTGAGGGAGGACTGGGGTTCAAAATGTTTGACGATTTTAACCTAGCGCTTCTCGCCAAGCAGTTTTGGAGACTGGTTCGTTTCTCAGACTCTTTGTTGGCTCGAGTCTTGAGAGGACGTTATTTCAAGTACTCCAGCCCATTGTTTGTCAAACCGTCTTACCTACCCTCCTATGGCTGGCGCAGTATGCTGGCGGCTAGACCTCTCCTTCTATCAGGGTTGAGGAAAAATATTGGCTCAGGATTTGATACACGAGTTTGGTCTGACCAATGGATTCCGTCCATACCGGCTCGCCCAGCCAAGAGTAGGCTCGCCAATCCGGATCCTAACCTCTTCGTAAATGACCTCATCGATCCCGGGACAAAACGCTGGAAGATAGACAAATTGCAAGATCTTGTCTAACCGGAAGATGTCCCCGCTATCTTAGGTCTGCATCCGAGTTTGACATTCTCGAGAGATTTATTTATCTGGTCTCATACCAAGTCTGGGAATTACACCGTTAAGACGGGTTATCTGGCTGCACAAGCATGCCGCAAAGGAGATTGCGACCTCCCTTTTCAAGGACCTAGTGTTACGGCACTTCAGGCGCAATCATGGAAAATTCCAACCTCAAGAAAAATTAAACATTTCATCTGGCAATCCGCTTCGGGTTGCCTGGCTACTTGCTAACGTTTAGCTGATCGACATCTAGGCACGGATCGTACGTGTCCCAAGTGTGGAACTCTTGAAGAGACCATTAACCACGTTCTTTTCGAGTGTCCCCCTGCGTTTCAAGCCTTGTCGCTTTCGCAAATCTCCATTATCCTGAACGTCTTCCCATCACGGTCCCTGTTTACGAACCTAGACTATCTCTTTTGGAGAGCCAAGGAGTTAGGAGGACGAGAGGAGACCTTAAGGAACTTTCCCTGGATCATGTGGTACATCTGGAAGGCACGCAACTCAAAAGTTTTTGAGAATACAGATATTCACCCTTCTGACACGGTTCAACATGCTTTAAAGGAGGCCGAGTCTTTTCGAGTAGTTAGAGCCTGAGAAACGATCCTTAACCCCCAACCGGGACCTGTTCTCCAAGATCACCCGAATGACTCTATTATCTGCCGGATAGATGGATCTTGGGTGGAGTCTTGTACCCTGAGTGGTATTGGTTGGATTGTTGAGTCAAATGGAAATATGCAGCATATTGGCTTAAGGAGTTTTCGTCGGTGTTTATCCCCGCTTCACACGGAGTTTGAATCCTTACTTTGGGCAATGAGGTCGCTTAATACACTCTCTATTTTTGATGCTGTCTTTGAAACAGATTGCTTGGAGTTAACTCAAGTCTTAGACACTCCCGATGAGTGGCCTGCTTTTGCTTCGGAGTTAGAAGATTTTAGCTCGTTGAAGTCTCTTTTTCCCTCTTTTATGTTATCTTTTATCCCACGCTGTAACAATATCCGTGCTGACTGCCTCGCAAAAAAGGCACGATCACGCGGTTCTATCTTTTCCCATGTAAGCTCTTTTCTACCGGACTGGTTTTCTCCAAAAAAAAACCGTCCGTTTCTAGCTTGAATGGATGAACTTATTTTGCTGTAAAAAAAAAAAAAAAAAAAAAAAAAAAAAAAAAAAAAAAAAAAAAATTATATATGCAGATATATGTTCCATACACTAAAAAAATACAACAAAATGGAGTTTGATGATGCTTTCGTCTTAGCTGCCTAATCTCTGTCAAAATCGTTGGGAATAGATTCTTAAGCATTTCAACATTCCATTCCTTCGTATTCACATCAATGAGATCAACAATCATAAGATTGGCTTGTTGAAGTGGAGCTGGTCCTGTGGTTATGCCGGGAGCTATCAGGGCAGTCCAGGGATCACGCCATACGTTGGTTGATTTACCATCCCCAATTGCAATACCCATGCCTTGTTTTAACAGGTCTCGGCCAGCCAATAAGCCTTTCCAGCCATGAGACGAAGAGGGTCTAGGGCTAACCTCCATGAAGGGTCTATTGCGGCAATATTTAGCTAAGAGCATTCTGGAGAGGAGGCTGGTTGGGTTATTGATGAGTCGCCAGCTGAGTTTAGCGAGGAGAGCTTCGTTAAAACTTTGTATCTCTCGTATGTCAAGTCCTCCTTTGTCTTTTGGTTGTGTGAGTGAGTTCCATGAAACCCATGCCATTCCTTTCTTTTCCTGTTTGCTATCCCAGAAGAACCGAGTTAAGGCTGATTGAATTCTCTTGCACAGACTAATAGGTAGCTGAAAACAAGACATTGAGTAAGAAGGTATTGCTGTCAGGACTGATTTGAGCATGATCAATTTCCCTGCTGTAGAGAGTCTTTTAGAGGACCAGCTTGCTGCTTTCTTCTTAATCCGAGCAACAATAGATTCGAAGAGATCCCTCTTCTTCCTTCCAAAGAGCTCAGGCAGACCAAGGTATTTCCCAGTTCCTCCTTCTTTCGTGATTCCAAGTTGGTTTTTCACTCTGTTTCTGATTTCCTGGCTTGTTTTTGGTGAAAAGGTGATGGAGGATTTGTCCTTGTTGATAAGTTGTCCCGAGGCTTCTTCATAATTTGTGATGATTCGGTGTAGCATGGAGCAGCTATTTGCATCTGTTCTAGCAAACAACATCGTGTCATCAGCAAATAGAAGGTGATTTACCGCCGGTCCTGTTCTTGAGATTTGTAGACCTCTTAGTTTCCCATCATCCTGTGCATTCTGACAAAGGCCAGAGAGGACACTGCTGCAAATAATAAATAGGAACGGGGATAGCGGGTCTCCTTGGCGTATACCGCGTTGAGGGATAACACATCCACGAGGTTGCCCATTGATGAGAAACGAGTATGTGACAGTGGTAATGCTCTGCATCACCCAACCGATCCACTTTGCATCAAAACCCATCTGTTTAAGCACTTCTCGAATAAAATCTCATTCGAGTCTGTCGTAAGCTTTTGTCATATCAGTTTTAATCGCCATTGAGCATCTCTTTGTGGCTTGAGATTTCTGAAGAGTGTGAAGGAGTTCATGAGTGATTAGAACATTGTCGGAGATGGCTCTTCCGGGGACGAAAGCCGTTTGATTTTCTGAGATGAGGGAGTCTAGAAACGGTTGTAGTCTCTTTGTGAGGATCTTGGAGTAGATTTTGTAGTAGACACTGCATAACGCGATGGGTCTATAGTCCTTGACTTTTTGGGGATTTTGGATTTTTGGAATCAGCCTGATGTGCGTCTTATTTGCTTCACCTGGGAGGATACCAGAGGTGAAGAAGCTTCTGACTTCCACGACAATATCCTTTTCCATTGTTGTCCAATTCGCTTGGAAGAAATAAGCTGTAAAGCCGTCCGGTCCCGGAGCTTTGTCTCCATGGATTGAAAAGCAGGCACTCTTAATCTCTTCAGCGCTTGGAATTTGTAACAGAGATTTATTCATCTCATCTGTTACTACTCGTTTGACAGCTCTTTGGATGACTCCCGTTGGTTCCTTTGGTTGGGAGCTATAAATGTTTGAGAAGTACTCTGAGATGACTGCTGTGATGTGCTCTTCTTCAAAAAATACAGTACCCTCATCATTTTCAATTACTAAGAATCGATTGAAAGCTCTTCTACCTCTTGTAGATGCGTGGAAGTATGATGAGTTTTTGTCACCCAGTGCAAGCCACAATTGTCGACTTCTCTGTCTCCAATAGCTCTCTTCAGCCAAATAAGTTTCTCTTAGGGTCTGAGAAAAAGGTCTGAATGCGATCCACATCTGGTGTTAACTCTGCTAGAGCCGGGTCAAGGTCTGCTTTCTTCTCCTTTATTGCTCTTTGATTGTTTTGGTGATGTTTCCTGTGCCACTTTTGAATGGCCTTCTTACAGCTCAGAATGCGATCAGCAACAGTAATGTTAAACTTATTATCCCATGCTCTTTTGACTAGCTCAAAGATCTCAGGATTTTTCTGCAGACTCCTGTCGTATCGAAACATTCTCTTCTCTTTCTTTTTTCGAGCTGCGAAGTAAGCCATGACAGGTCGATGGTCGGATCCTTCAAACTTCATGTATTCAATTCGGCTAGTCGGAAATAGGTCGGACCATTCTCCATTAGCCAAGGCCCTGTCAAGACGGCAAAATACTAGGTGAGTATTTCGTTGTCCTCTCCAGGAGAGGGGATTACCCGAGTGGCGGAGATCGTAGAGGTCATTCTCTGCTATAAAGTTTCGGAAGTTAGTGAATGATCCTTCAGGTCGAAATGGTCCTCCAGATTTTTCCTCAGAGCATGTAATTTCGTTGAAATCACCAATTTTAAACCATGGGCCTTCTCTTAGTGAAGCAATCTCTGTAAGTGCATCCCACACCGGCTTTCGCTTGTCCTTGTCTGGATCTCCGTATATAAATATTGCATAGAATTTCTTCCCTTTGAAGGTGATTTGAGTATCGATGTAATTCTGAGATTCTTGGAGGACTTCCAATTTCACCTCCTCTGTCCAAAGCAAAGCTAGGCCTCCCCCTCCAGGAGAATGTGGAGAAACAAGTTTGATCTGGTTATATTGGAGATCCTCAAGATCTTTTATAACTACCTCATCTGGATTCTTTGTTTCGCTTAAGAAGAAGATCTCGGTGTGTATTTTCTTCTTAGTTCCCGGATTCGCTGGATTGTTGTGGGTGTTTTAAGTCCACAACAATTCCAGCTACACACAGCTAAGGAGCAGGGTTGTGACGGGACCGAAAATCCATCGTTCTCCTCTGGTTGGGTGTACCATTCGTTGCTTCCTCCTGGTTATCCTGGTTGTCCGATAAAGGCTGTTCCAAAGTTTGGTGCTGAGGCCAATCTACTTCTTTGTAATCTCCTGTTTTTCTTAATGAAAGTTTGTCTTTCCATGACCAAAAAAAAATGATGCTTCCGTACATTAGAAATTAGTTTGTCTAGTACTTTTCCTAGTAAATTAAAATAATGTCATATAAATCTATGTAACAGATGTTTTAAGAGTTATTATCTGGATCTCTAAATCATAACAATAATAGGTGATTAGTTTCTGAAGGAGTTTAGAGATTGGTATAGGATAAAGTGCGTACCAAACAATTAAAGGTTTCCGGATTCAATTACCAAAAGTCAAAATATACCTCTAACTATGATTTAAAAAACAAAATGTATGTAATGTCTAACTATAATTTATATTACAGAAGTTTAAGCTATGCATGGTAACACATTAATTTTAACTAGATGAATACCCACGCTACGTGTGGGTTTTTGTTTTGAAAATTGCCGAAAAAAATGTGATTATGGTTTTTGTTGCTTTTTATGTTCATTTTATGTGTGTTATTATGTAATTAATAAATTCATATCTATTTTCTATAGTTATATGGAGTAATTTTTATGATTAGATTCATCCTTGACTTAAAATATCAATTCTACGTTTTTCAAGTATAAATATGATTATTTATGTACTTACAATCCTAATCTTTCACTATCATGAATACATACAATAACAATATATGATATATTGATACAATAGTATATGTAATTATGCTACTTATGTGGTTTGAAACTTGCATAACGAAATTTTAAACAAACAATTCTTTGTTCCATATATTCTCTCGTCACCTAGTACGCCAAGCACATAATGATATATATGCTAGTAATTTAAGTCAACACTTTAGATTTCTTCCCGTTCATATAACCGAAAGTCTCGTGTTTTATATTTCTTGGTATGTCTAACGTTTCAAAAGACCATTAAGTAAAAAAATTTGTATGTCAATATTACCAACTTATCATAACACACAAAAATAAAAAGAGTGAATGTCATATGAAAAATCATATTCACAAAACGTATAAGAAAATATTCAAAGGAAAACTACTAAATTAATATGAGGTTAGGTAGCAAACTTCTAAACTACAACACAAGTAATTTTTTAGCCATTATCGAATAATGATCATTGATAATTATTTTTAATAAAATAAGAATAGTAGAATGAAAAGTAGTGTTTAATACGTTAGTATGATTTTTTATTTTATTTTTTTTAGTTTTTAAAACATCAATTAAAAGTGAGATTAATTGAGAATTTAACACAACAAAAGACTTTTGATTTTCCCTCAACTAATTTTACTAATTTTTTTTATTTAAATAATGTTGTATTGATGGAGGATTGATGCTATGAAGAATTTTTAATTTTTTTCTCATTTAATTTGGCTATTTTTTTTTAAATAATATAAAATGCAACATGTCATTTTTTTGTGTGATGATGTGGCATTCATATGGAGAGAGTTCGCCAACTTTTATATATATGATTTATTATTAAAATATACTCTCTCCTTTCTTTTATGAGAAATTGTTAAAAATGATCATTTTTCAATACCCCTTTTCAAAAATGCCCCTTTTGAGAGTCCATTTTTAAGTTTGCCCTCTTTTAATTTTTAATGACCATTTTACCCTTATTTGAAACAAAATTAGGTCCACAAAATACAAAATATTTTTTGGCGGGAAAAGTGATTCCCGCAATTTTCCCGCCAAAACACTTGTAAAAACCTTTAAAATACCTTGTAAATTTTCCCGTAAAAATTTTTCCCACCAAAAAATTTTCCCGCCAAAAATTGTTTTTTGCGGGAAAAGTGTTTCCTTAATTTTTTTGGCGAAAAGTTTTGGCGGGAAAAATTTACAAGGTATTTTAAAGGTTTTTACAGAGTATTTATAAGTGTTTTGTAAGGTTTTACAATGTATTTTAAAAAGTTTTACAAGGTACTTATAAGGTTTTATAAGGTATTTATAACTTGTAAAACCTTATAAAAAACTTGTAAAACCTTATAACTTGTAAAACCTTATAAAATAGCTTGTAAAATCTTATAATATCTTATAAATACGTTGTAAAACCTTTTAAAATACATTGTAAAACCTTATAAATACCCTGTAAAAAACCTTTAAAATACCTTGTAAATTTTTCCCGCCAAAAATTTAATGCCAAAAAAAATTGCGGAATCACTTTTCCCGCAAAAAAAAAAAATTTTGGCGGGAAAAAATTTTACGGGAAAATTTTACAAGGTATTTTAAAGGTTTTACAAGTTTTTACAAGTGTTTTGGCGGGAAAAATTGCGGGATCACTTTTCCCGCCAAAAAATATTTTGTATTTTGTGGACCTAATTTTGTTATATTTCCTTATATATTTGTGATATCTTTTATTAAAAGAAGGGTAATTTAGTCATTTTGTACATAAAAAATGGTATTTTTAAAAATAGACAGCCAAATGGGGCATTTTTGAAAAAGGGTATTGAAAAATGAGCATTTTTGTGAGTCTCCCTTCTTTTATAAGTGATGTTTTAAGCTTCTAATTTTGTTCTTAAATAGATGATGTTTTCAATTTTCAATGCAAAATTAATTACGTTTTTATTGGTTTTGATGATTTATATTCTGTAGATTGGTTTTTTTTTTTGTTGATTAAATAATAAATGATGTTTAGTTTAGAAATAAACAAAAATTAAATGATTTCTTAATCTATGTACATTCTCCTAAAACATCACTTATAAAAGAACGGAGAGAGTATAACAAATAAATCCAGGTTACAAAGAAAAAAAGGAAGCAATCTCACAATAATTAGAATTTGAATTAACGATATCACATCAATAATATAAATTAATAAAAAATATTTTTCATATTTGATAGAGAATGATTTAGACATATGAAGACATTAATAACCTGGATGTTGTTCACGATGACAATGTGTAGAAATTTCACAACCACGATGGTAAGGGTTGGCTGGAACTTTGACACATTCTTTGGGGTTCTTACTGCCACAAGCTGGAATTATGTCTTTTCTCATATCTCCATAGTTTATATATTTGCTTCCTTCTCCAAATCGGCTGAACAATGATAATATAATCATTATTGAAACAAAGAAAAGACTGGTTAGACTCATTTTGTGTGCAGCCATTGTTTAGAAGAAAAAAAACAATGTATATCTTCTCGTTCTTTTTTCTGTGTTATTATATTTTGTAATTTGAATAGGTGATTAATTATAAATTTATGTTTCATTGATTTATAATGAGGGAGATGATTCTAAAAAAAGATGGCCAGTGCATAATGTATCTGTGCATGTAGACTTTACTGGCTATTTATATGTCATATCGGTTTTTTTGTTTCATTAACAAGAATCTTCAAAATAGAATTTACAATGGATTTCTAGCATGATTTCAGTTTTAATTTGTTCAACAAATTAAGAGCAATTTAAAGTAAGAAAATAAATTAAATTTAGAATAATATTTGAGTTGTCGCGTAACTAAGTTTGATTTTGTAACAAAATATGTTAAGTGGGTATATTTTTGAGAGTATGAAGGAAAGTGGGCATACACATAACAAAATATGAGAATGAATAGAGAGTAGATGGAGATAGTAATTAATGATTAGAGAATAAATATTTGAAATTTACCAAATTGCTTTGCAGCCATGCCGTTATAGCAACATCAAACTAATAATCGAAAAGTAATGTGTTATGACAAAAATAAAATAAAATAGAACAAAAATTTGCTTGAGTTAGTGCATCTTTCATATACTATTTCATTTCATATATAACTTTAAAATATGTTTTCTATTTCCAAATAGAAAATAATATATATATATATATATATATATATATTAATATATGTATATATATATATATATTATATAGGTATTTAACTTAAAACTAAAAAGAAAATAAGACTAAGTTAATCAACTAACAAATGTTCATTGTCAAATGTATTCCGGTTGTAGCCCGGACTAATCCTTAGTGTAACATAATAAATTTTGATAATGTCATCTCAATATCTTGGTTCATACTCGTATATTGCATATTGTAGACAAAAGTAAATATTTTCGAACCATTGAAATTAATTTTGGCATTAAGGTGGTTAACGTTAGCAACTATTATGTGGTGACTTCAAGTTTGTACAATATAGGAATAAGTGATTAACTAATGTCTAATGTTACTTGTAAGTACAAGAGTACATCACAAAGGTTTTTCATACATCTATTGATATCAAATTACTTGCTTGTTTCCTATTTCGGTTCCTCTAATATGTTTTCTTATATCCTAAACATTGTAGTTTCAGGTCACATATTACCATCTAAACATTATCTACTTTTTTGAGAAATCTGAGTTCAAGAAAGTTGTTACGGTGTAGGTTTTAAACAAAGTTTAGACCCATATTTAGACCCAAGCAATCAATTAGATTCCTCGCTTACCATTTAGACTCTTTTTTTTTTCGTAGGCAATTTTTTTTTTTAAGTCATAGGCACGGACCTACGGGTTATCTGTGTGCATAAATAACTCATTTTGCTTTCTACTTGATTTCTCCGGCGAGATCAGGCGACACTGAAGCTCTACAAAGTCGGAAATCATTCAATTTATCCGTCAACCTCATTTCAGTGGCGAGGAACAGATATCTGCAACTGTGAAGGAGATAAGAAAAACATGAACGGAAGAGTCTCTAAGCTTGTGTCTTTGCATAGAAATAATCTCGCTGATATGTTAGAGAATGTGATGTGCATGGTTCGCATTCGCTTGAAACTTAACTTGATTTTATAACAAGACTTATATAATTATATATGTGTGATGTGTCGTTAGGTTAGTGTTTTTTTTTTGTTGGTGTAAGAATTGCTCTGTTCTGTTTCTCACTCTGGTCAGTGCTTAAGAATGAATGTGTATGTACGTTCATCCATATACTCTTCAACGTTCACATGAGATATTTGCCCCCAATGTTCACATAAATTCTAATTTGAACCGAGCCGAAAACTAAGTATAAATTTCAATGTTCTTTGTATTATTGACTTCGATACAAAACCCAAAAACTGAACTAAACCGGAACCAAGCAGGTAGAGCTAAACCAATTAAATCTCTTTTCAGGAGAGTTCAGAGATTACTCTTTCACATTTATCTTCCAATATCTTCACTGCTTCGTTGAAAAGAACGTCCGGAGGCTGTGATCCGGTGGACTCGATCGTAACTGAGAAAGACAATAAGAAACTCAATTAGAATTTCTTTCAGATCATGAATTGCCAGGTTGAAGGAACGGGTTTTTTTTTTTTTCTTTTTCTTTTCTTACATATAAAATGGTTCTTGACACGGCGCAGATCCACTTGTTTCGCCCATTCCACTCCTTCTCTTATGCATTCTCTACACAACGAACAATCACGCGGCCGAGCTACTGTTGCCCTCTTCCTACCTGTTTTCCACTTTTGCAAGTCAAATCAATTTGCAGCCAAAGTTCTCAGGTTTCATCAGAATCTCTAACTGTTACTCAAAAGCATGTAAGAAGATTTGAAGATTTTGAAGGAAACTTGGGAAGGCTTTTTACTTCACCTTGGCCCATGTCTTCAATGTCAAAAACTTTCTTGGGGCATACTTTTACGAGTTCTTCGGCATGTTTACCCTCGAATTCCTTTAGTAGAATCACCTAAGATATTATAAACAAAAAAAGCATTACTGGAAAAGCTTAGGACGAGTTAAGAAAATAATTAACTCCTTTTCCCAGAAGGCTTATGGTGAACTTCTCACCTCAGGAAGCATTCGGTACCAAGCCGTTGCAACTGGGGACCACTTTGCATGTGTTTTACCAATGCCCTTAACCGCATGAGCTTCAAGCTCGATTTCCTGCAAGAAAAAGATAGAAAAAGATGCAAGTCTTTCATCTCTCATAGCAAGGAAAGTCCTCTCAAGTGTCACAAATAAGAGGAAGAGTGTAAATAGAAACAGTACCTGACCAGGGCCGAGTTTTGCTATCAAGATATCTTGAAAGCTTGGCGTGATAGGATTTTTTGCAAATCCAGGGAAGGAATCTTGGCTATGGCTGAATGAAGTGTAAGTTTTTGGCTTTGTGGTTAAACCTCCAGATTCTTTGACAAGCTCACTTCCATTTGGTAACCATTTCAATTCGCTTGTTAAGACTTCAAGAAATAAAAAATGACACCTTTCATGAGAGATCAAGCTAACAATAAAACAAAGACTCTTCTTATGCTAACCAAAGAACATATATTACCTTTACGACGCGGGTCACCTTTTGGACATTTTACATGGAGTTTGAAAACAATGGTGTTCTTTTCATTTGGCTGATCGTTTTCTATGCGCGGAGATAAAAGAAAAAATTAAGCGTGACATAGAGAATTAAATGCTTAATGAGATGGATCACATGCCACTGATATTTCTTACCGGATAAATATTCAAAGAGCCTTGGATCAGCGGCAATTGGAATAAGACCCAACCTGTGAGCAAGAACTTCGTCTTGAATAACCGACGTGTTGTTTGCTACAAACACTTTTTCAATAGCCATTGAAGGAAGCTGCAAGAAATGAACACTTATAACCAAAGACTCTAATAATTAGGGATTCATCAGAGGTTGTGAGACAGTGGACAGACCTCAGCTAGGAGGATTCTTCGGAAAGCATTAGCGATTCCTGCAGGGACACCAATCATATCGAAAACCATATATGTCTCTGTGAGACTAATCACATCAACTTTGAAATCCTCAGAAAAGTTTTCTAGTCTTACACTGTTGTCCACTCCCATAGAGGCATAGGCACCCGAGTAAAGGACACTCGTAGGCTGCAAAGAAACACAAACACAAAGAACATTCAAGACTTCAAATTTCAAACAATCATCACTCAATATCATTCGGATTTCGACAAAACTACCAAACCCACAGTGTAATCTTCTTAAATCGCTAAGAACAAACTCATCAAATTCACAGCATTCTACAGGAAAGTTTTAAACTTTACTCTGTAATCTACACGAAATCGATGAACACAACAAACCCCCATGGGACACATTGAGAAAAGCCAATAAATTTATAGCGAAGAATACATATAGCTTAAAAAGAGTGTAAAATTGATAGAGAATAGTTCTTACATGAATAGGAGCATCATTCTTACAGACAGCGCGAGTTCGCTGGAGCTCAAGATGCGGAGGAAGTCCGGTAGGGACGTCAGGGAGATCAAATATGTTGAAATTCTTGGCGAATTGCTTTTCTTCATCAGTCACAATTCTTGTTACTTCTTTAGTCTCCATTCTTCTCTGAAGCCAAGTTCGATTCTGAGAATTCGAAATTAGGGTTTATAAGAGAAGAGGAAGATGAATTGCACGATTTCACTTTCACTTCAATTTCGTTCTTAATTTCATAAAACTGGAAAATTAGGGTTTATGGACACGTGTGGAACACTGGAAAAAACATCCATTTTTTTTAGTTTACCTTCAAGCGTGCACATGAAAATAATAGCGGCATGGCTTAAATCCGACCAAAACGGCTGAACCGGAGCTAACCGGTGTTTGGTTCATTTGGTTTGGATTCAGTTTAAACTTTTTTAAACCGATCCGTAAAAGGTTTGAACTTTGAACTAGATTAGTTTGGTTCAATTCGGAACAACTTGGATCAATTGGTTCACTAAGGTGGTGTTATTGGTTAGTGAATTTAATGTCAACACCATTAGAGTTAAAGTCTATCAGATTTCAAATGTTTTGGGTTTATTGAAAGTAAACCATTATTCATTTTGTCAAATACATGGAAGTGTATTTTCAATGATACTTGATCTCATTTAGTTTTCTATAACAGATTTAAATTCAATAACAAATGATTTTTATAATCTAATCGAAGTCTATCAAAACTTTTGACCATTTTTTTCTTTTCTTATTTCAAGTTTTTCTAATGTTTTGAAGTTTTAACAAAAAAAATATGCTAAAGAATTAATTCATAAAACTTTGATGATTTCAAATTAAAATTTTAAAAATAAATAAAATGTTTGTTTCACGTAAGTCAGTCTACCACAAGTTACAATTGTATATGGTGCATATAAATGAGATTTTTGATTATTTGAATATATACCTTAGGGAACACTATGTCGAGAAGAAGGAGAGAAGACGTGAAAGGAAAAAAAAGAATTTTTGGTTATTCTCATAAATGAGATTTTATAATTATAAAAATATGATTGTGAAAATCTTGAGTAGAAGATAGGATTTTGATTGCTATAATTTACACATGAAATCAGTATCAGATTCTTTCATATCTTTTTAAATCAAAACATTTGTCAAAATCTGTCAAACAACCACTAACATAGAACTTTAATTGATCATTGTAAATATGATAACCAATAACACTAGATTTCAAACTCTTTTAATATAGATATTAGAATATGAGAACCAATAACACTTGATTTTAAACTCTTTTAATATAGACATTAGAAATATGAGAACCAATAACACTTGATTTGAAATCTGTATTTACAATATGAGAATCAATAACATTAGATTTGAGTTAGAGTTAGACTCTATTAATATCCACTAACGAATAACACCCCCTAAAAAAACTTGAGTGTTTGTTTGATTTTATTCGATTTTCTTTGCCAAATCTTAGTAGTTTTTCAATTTCTAATCTAAACGGACCGAATCATTCATATTTTCCAAATTTAGTTAATCTCATTATAGTAAAGAACAATGTCCGCAGTAATTTTTATTTATTTATTATTCCATATCCATAAGAATGAGCCAAGAAAAGAAAAAAAGTTTGAACTAAGCAAAAACAAAACAAAACTAGAACCAATCAACTCAAACACGAAAGTAGATAAACTAACCACTAAAAAGATTAACCACGAATTCACATTTGACTTCAAATTTAGTTTAATCCATTAAAAAAAAAAAGATTAAACCGGACCATACAGGTTTTTTTGAAACCGTCCACCTCAGAATCTCTACGTGGAATCCAGGATGTCAAATAGAATTCCGTATAATTAAAAAAACAAATTAGTGTTGCTCATTTTGAAAGTTTGAAATCTTCTTAATTTTATAAAATTTATAGACAACGAATTAGTCAAAAAAAAAAAACAGAGAAAAAGGACAGAAGGAAAATGGAGAAAAGTAGAGTAAAATGGCGTCACCAGAGAGGCACAACTCACGGGGAAAATCAGCAGAACCAATACCACCGCCACCGGTTACTATTATTATTCTTGTTTTCATCATCACCCAACATTTTTATTTCTTTTAAAAAAAAAAAATACTATTTTCGATTGTTTTCTCTATTTTCAAGAATTTTTTTTTATAATATCGATTTTGCCACCCAACTTCTCCCACTCCTTCACCACTGTGTCCTGCTGCTGCTTTCTCACCTCTCCATCATTCATTTCTTTCGTTCTTTTTTTCTCCCATCCGTTTCTTTTATTCTTCTTTCCCCTTAAATTAAAATCTTTTAAATTAAATTATTGGATATTGTTGTTTCTCTGCGTTTCTTTCCAAACCCATTTTCTTCCTCTTCAATTGATTAAGCTTCTCTTCGACTTCTTGATTTTACAGGTTTTTTTTTCTGACTTTAACTAATGAAAAGAATCAAACTTTTTTCTTTGTGTCGCTGTGATGATGATTTCTTGTGTGTATGTAGGATCTGAAGGAAGCTTTGGTTTAATTTATTTCTGTAAATCGGATTAATTTTTTGATGGGCAATCATTAAGAGTTACATACATATGTTCTCTTAGCTTCTCTTACAAGATCTTTTGGGTATGTCTTGTTCTTTGAAGTTGCTATCTTTCTTCCATGTTCCAGAGATTTGCCTTATTTTCTCACTTTTGACATAATAATTTCTTTTGCCTGTTTTTGTTACTTGGTTTAAATGAATCTTTGACCATGATCACTAAATTTGGTTCCTAGGCAAGATCAAAAAAAGTTCATCAAATAGGCAAACTTGATTCTCCATATAGATTTACTAGAGTTCCTGTCTGGGTGTTGTTTATGAAGAATCAATCAATTCCTACTTGTTAGTATCTGTAATATATCTGAGGCCTTGATCATGAACTATAGTTTCCTCGAACCATAGTTTCCTCAAAGATCTCAACTGTGTCTCTAGTTGGATTGTAATCTGTATTTCTTACTGTAATATTTCTGAAAGTTCAATACTTTACGGGTATATATACACACAAAACGGTTAAGCTCTAGAGAAGATGTTGGGAGGCAACAATGAGAACCCTGTGCCGCAGGTTTTAATGAACGACAGCCAGTTTCAGTATCAAACAAATACATCGTTGAATCAGCTTCACTTGCTTGGGACAAGTAAGTTTCTGAATTCTGTTCATCATTTGGTTTTAATGTTGTTAGAGCTTTATAGAGCTAAAGCTTGTTCCTTTGTATGTGGAATGTGGTTGCAGTGAGACCTGGTTGTACTATTGATCCCGTAAACTACTTTGCTAATGATAACCTAGCTCCTATGATTCGGCATAATAGCAAACGCGGAAGGGAAACCGAAATCAATAATAATATGCAGAGACAGCAGAAGCTGCAGATCTCTTTGAATTATAACTACAACAACAATAGTGTTGTTCAAGATGAAGTCCCAAAACAGAACTTAGTGTCCACGGGTCTGAGACTATCTTATGACGATGATGAGCGCAACTCTTCTGTAACTTCGGCAAATTTAAGTATCACAACTCCAGTCTTTCAGTCACTCGGTGACAATATCAGATTGGACCTTCATAGACAGAAAGAGGAGCTTGATCAGTTTATCAAATTCCGGGTACCAATTCTATCTCTAAAGCTTATGTTGTTGCCTATATATCTCATGTCGTTGAGATTGTACTCTCTTGGAACAGGCAGATCAAATGGCGAAAGGTGTGAGAGATATGAAACAGAGACATGTCACGTCCTTTGTCACGGCCTTAGAGAAGGATGTGAGTAAGAAGCTTCAAGAGAAAGACCAGGAGATTGAAAGCATGAACAAGAAGAACCGGGAACTCGTGGATAAGATAAAACAAGTGGCAGTGGAAGCTCAGAACTGGCATTACAAAGCAAAGTACAATGAATCTGTGGTTAATGCCTTAAAGATAAACTTGCAACAAGTGATGTCACATGGAAACGACAACAATGCAGCAGGAGTAGTAGCTGATCATCATCAAATGAAAGAAGGGTTTGGGGATAGTGAGATTGATGACGAGGCAGCCTCATACAACTACTTGAACATCCCGGGGATACCAAGTGCTGCGATGAGGTGTAAGTCATGTAACGTAAAGGATGTTTCGGTCTTGCTCGTGCCGTGTAGGCACTTGAGTTTGTGTAAAGACTGTGATGTGTTTACTGGTGTTTGTCCTGTTTGCCAGTCTTTGAAAACTTCTAGTGTTCAGGTCTTCTTCTCCTGAGTTGTCTTCATACTGTTGAAAAGTTAATGATGGAGAAACATGAACATATATGTATGTGATGATGATGATGATGATGAGCTGAAGATGAAAAACTTGCTCGAGTCTTTCTTTGCTTTGCCATTAAACCTATATAAGCATGATTCTGCTATTTCGTAGTTATTAAGCATCCGTTCTTTGCCGATATACTAATTGAGTCCGTGTGCGATATATCAAAGCTGTGGATTTCGTTGCTAGAAGAAATCAAACATGTTTTGGGTTTTGGCTGATTTCTTTCTTCTTAATATTTTTGCTGCAAAACTTCTTTCACAAGTAAGGTTATCTATGTACTAAATCAGACGGATATAGTTTTGCCCAAAAAAGAACCGGATTTTTTTCTAAGTAAATTTACCTCCAAAAAAAATCATAACCAACATAAAATATTCATTACATAAACTTAAAAATAAAAGAAAAAAAATTTATCTTTCAAAACTTTATAGAAAATTTACAACGAGATATTATAATCATTAATTATAATCAACATAACAACATTACAAAATTCAATAAAGAGTAAACTAGTGAAAACTAATCTTACCTTCGTACTAAAAATAAACAATAGAATAAGGTCTTCACATGGTAAAATCCACTGTTGTCTTGCATTCTTTTTATTTGACGTGTATTTTTTTCTGATCTCTTTGAAGACAAGAGTAATAAATGTTTGTTTTCTTGCTTCTATATGTCGTTGATAACATCCTTGAGTTCAATTTCCTGAAATGATAAAAGTTAATTAAGATTAAAAGTATGATCTTGCCAAACTTTGAAAACAAAGAAAAAATGATCGACAGTCTTTGATTCACTCATCTATAAAAAAACACCGTACGAATCATATTTTGTGCATTTACCCAGAAAAAAATTCGCATTAATCTTCGGTACTTAGAATATTGCAAGGAGTTAGAAGACTATAAAACGACGAGTTATTTTGATTTTATTCTTAAAAGTAGTTAATAGTATTTCATAAGATTTAATTTATAAAAAATACTATAAGAGATCTATAATAAGTCTTCAACATGTAAGAAAAAAAAAAAAAAAGATAATGCGATATGAACTCACATGGTGTCGTTCTTAGGATATTGTACCCATATGGTACAAGATATCACAAGAAAACACTATTTAAATGTTGCTTTTTGCATCGCTTGTTATATGAATGTTTTTTTTTTTCTTTTTTGACATTATGTGAATGTCTTCTTCTTAAAACTTGTATGTTTGAAAAAAAAAAATTAATAAAATTGTTGATTAAGTCAAAAGTAAAACCAAGTTTACCTTCATTTGAGTAAAAGAGGGTAGACTAAAATCAAGTCTAATTAGTAAGTTAGATGATTTAAAAACAACACCACATGTCCAGTTCATGAAAAATGAAAAGAAACTTTATAGATTAAATGAAATGCTCCTAATAGCCTTGTTGCTACCAGCTGATAATACATATTTGGGTAACTCTCAAGCAAAAAAAAAAAAAAAAATCATATAAAACTTAAAGATACCATATTTTTAGCTTGCGTTTTTGCGTTCTATCTAATTTTGTTAGAAATTTTGATGATGACTTTGTGTGGTCTTTTTTATAATATGACTTTGAATCATTGCCTAATTTTTTAAGGGGAAAATTCCCAAAAAAAAACCTCATTTATTTTTTATTTGGACGTTTAATACCCAATTATTTTTGGTTGGAAGAAATATACACATATTAATTAAACAGTGCGATTTAATACTCAAACAATTAAATATTGTTATTTTCATACTTACGAACTCACAACAACAAAAAAATTCCAATTTTACCCTTACCATTTTAATTAATTATTAACTTTTAGATGACGTGGCATTAATTTTTTATTTAAATAAAATTTAATTTTATTAATATTTCATTTCATTTTTTATCCCTAAAAAATTCAAAAAATATTTCAAAAAATTTTCAGTTTATTTTACAAATATTTAATTTTTAAATTTGAAATTAAAATTAATTAGCAAAAAAAAAATTTAAAAATAATTAGCCATTCTTATGAATTGATAAATCTTGAGAAAGACTATGAGATTCGAATTGAGATTTTTTCGAAAATAGTTTCATTCGTAAAGGATTTATATTCGAATAGAGAGTTTCTCACGACGAAGAAAAAGTTCATATCGAAGCTCGTTAATATCATATGCATCACGACGAATAAAATCAAATTAGTTTTATTGGCGATGAAGAATTAAAGATTTTGGATACGACTAAAAGGAGATCGTGAACGGTTATCGAATTTGATGGTTGCAAAAGAGGACGACGGAGATTGTTTACCGGCGATTATAGTAGAGATTAATCGAGAAAATTTGAGAATCGATGAAGAAACGTCTCTTTGACATTGCAAAGACGGAATGACTATTTTAATATTTTTAATATTTTTGATTTTCTTTTATGTTTAATTTTAAAATAAAATAATTATATAAAAAAAATTATTTTTTAGGCAACATAAATAAAACATTAGTAAAATTAATTTTTATTTAAATAAAAAACTAATGCTATGTCATCTAAAAATTAATAATTAGTTGAAATGGTAAGGGTAAAATTGGAATATTTTTTTTGTTGTGAGTTCGTGAGTATGAAAATAATAATATTTAATTGTTTGGGTATTAAATCGCACCGTTTAATTAATATGTGTACTTTTCTTCCAACCAAAAACAATTGGGTATTAAACATCCAAATAAAAAATAAATGAGGCTTTTTTGGGAATTTTCCCATTTTTTAAGCAATGTGGGACATTGTACACATATTTTTTGTTTCATCGATTGAGTAATATATGTCTGTTTTTTTTAATTTTAATCACAACATATGCAGAAAATTTTTAATATTTTATTAACTAGATGTATTTTATATAAATTCAAAATAATTTAAATATAATATTAAATAAAAGTGAAAGAAGAATCATATATTTATGTTTAAATTAAGTAGAGAGATTTTAGGAAATTAGCAATTAATCAAATGTAGTTAAGGTATTTTTGTAAAATTTGGTTAGGACAATACATTTGTCAGATAGATTTTGTAGGGACTAAAAGTATAAATATGAAATTGAATAAAGATTTTTGGCCCAAAATCTTCTCCAAAAATGTATATATAGATATGCATCATTTTATGTTTGCAAAAACCAAAAAGACGCAATTGAATATCCCATCTGAATTTTAATTTATTTTTTTGGCATTAATATTAAGAGAAATTGTTAAAAATGCCCCTTTTTCAATACCCCTTTTCAAAAATGCCCCATTTGAGAGTCCATTTTTAAGTTTGCCCTCTTTTAATTTTTAATGACTATTTTACCCTTATTTGAAACAAAATTAGGTCCACAAAATACAAAATATTTTTTGGCGGGAAAAGTGATCCCGCAAATTTTTGGCGGGAAACGTGATCCCGCAATTTTCCCGCCAATTTTTTTTTTTTCGGGAAAAGTGATTCCGCAAATTTTTTGGCGAAATTTTTTTGGCAGGAAAATTTTTGGTGGGAAAAATTTACAAGGTATTTTAAAAGTTTTACAGAGTTTTTACAAGTGTTTTGTAAGGTTTTACAATGTATTTTAAAAGGTTTTACAATGTACTTATAAGGTTTTACAAGTTATAAAATAACTTGTAAAATCTTATAAAAAACTTGTAAAACTTTATAACTTGTAAAACTTTATAACTTGTAAAACCTTATAAAATAGCTTGTAAAATCTTATAATATCTTATAAATACCTTATAAATACGTTGTAAAACCTTTTAAAATACATTGTAAAACCTTATAAATACCCTGTAAAAACCTTTAAAATACCTTGTAAATTTTTCCCGCCAAAAATTTTCCTGCCAAAAATTTAACGCCAAAATAATTGCGGAATCACTTTTCCCGCAAAAAAGTTTTTTTGGCGGGAAAAATTTTTACGGGAAAATTTTTGGCGGGAAAAGTTTTTACAAAATCAAATTGGTAATTTTGATGTGTGCACATACTCATGTTTTCCTTATATATTTGTGATATCTTTTATTAAAAGAAGGGTAATTTAGTCATTTTGTACATAAAATGGGGTATTTAAAAAAATGGACAGGCAAATAAGGCATTTTTAAAAAGAGGTATTGAAAAATGGACATTTTTGTGAGTCTCCCTAATATTAATCTGGTATAGTTGTAAATTTATGTTAAAATTGTTCAAATTTGTAAATCACTACAAAAATAGTTTACTTTGGTGTGTACCACCCAATGACCCAATCAACCCCTCAAACTATTGGGGCTTCAAGGCCCATCTTCTACTTGTATAAAAAATTGGTCAAAGACACGTGAACCTCACGTGATTTTATCTTCTAACGAGAGCTTGTGTTATCCACTTCATCAGCCTCATGTCTCTTCCGCAAAACCCAACATTCAAATTCTTGTCTGAATAAACAAATCCAAACATTGGCATTGCATAGATTCCTTCAAAAGTCCTCTGATTCTGATTCTAGTCACTCAATTCTGACATAATTGGGACACGTTTTTCTCAGTTTTTGTATAAAGTTCATTGAGTTGGTCCTGTGTGCGTTATCTTCTTCAAATTAAGTAAGCTTCCAGATTAGTGATTTCATGGAATCCGCCTAGTTCAAATATTTTTCCAATAAAAGAAGTGATTTTGTTATGATTACGTCGTGGGTTTGATCTGATTCTACCTCCGTTGCTAATAATGCCCTCTTCGAAAGATTCGTGTTAAAAGGTAAAGTTCCAAACTTTATATATGTCTTTCTTCATCTTATTTTTCATTGTCTCTGATTTATGCCAGAACAAAGATTTTAGTTATAGGGTTCCAGAACCTCGGACTTTTAACTCGGAAGTAGTGTTCTTGCTCGGTTAACTGAAAATCTTTCTTCTTCTTATGCAGAGACTTGAAAATGATGAATTTTGGTTCTCTCTGTGACATAAACTATGGGTTTGTGCCCAAAAAGTCAACTGATTTGTTTGTGAAACAGAAAATTCACAAGGTAAGCTTAGTGCTTCTGCTTCATCCAAAGCTTTGTTCTTTGACAACAATCTTTCTGTTGATGTTGATGATGAGTTCATCTACTTTGTACTGTCACTAAAATTACTTAGCTTAGCTTCCCAGCAGAGGAGATGTAATCACAAGATTACCGGTGTTTGGTTCGAATGCACGGGGGATTCTGAATGCTAAAACAAGAAGTAACCTTAGAGCTGGGCCAGCCTTTTGCAAGAGTTATGGAGATACAGCAAAAGTGTACCAAGAAGAGGAAATTCCCAGAGAAAAATTGATATGGAGAGCAATCAAACTACCAATGTACTCTGTCGCTTTAGTTCCTCTTACTGTATGTTTCTTCAAGTGACCTTTCTATTTCCTCCATTGCCTTTATATGCTATGGAATTTTCACTGTTCAAATGTCACAGGTTGGCGCTTCAGCGGCCTATTTAGAGACGGGGTTGTTTCTAGCTAGACGTTATGTTACATTAATGCTCTCATCAATTCTTATCATTACTTGGCTCAACCTAAGGTGATTGATTGATTCCTTTTAACATTTTCGTTGAATGTATTAGCTAACTCTTTCATGTATTTACTCTTTCCAAACATGGTTTTATGGCAGCAATGATGTTTATGATTTTGATACTGGAGCTGATAAGAACAAGAAGGAATCAGTAGTAAATCTGGTTGGAAGGTAAAGTATTATCAAAGGATAGAGTTTGCAACTTTGAAGTTTATGTTTTTCAATTCCCTCCTAATAAATGTGCTTTGTGGGTTTTACTTGGAAAAGCCGGACAGGAACCTTAGCCGCTGCAATCACATCGCTCGTGCTTGGTGTTTCCGGTCTAGTTTGGACATCTTTGAATGCAAGTAATATCCGTGCAATACTATTGCTGGCCTCAGCAATACTCTGCGGCTATGTATACCAGGTGAATACTACTTCCTAGATGACAATTTGATACTAATCGAGGAGATTCTAACTTGAGTAATACTTTGTGATTGGTTCTAGTGTCCACCATTTCGGTTAAGTTACCAAGGATTAGGAGAGCCTCTATGCTTTGCAGCATTTGGTCCATTTGCTACTACTGCTTTTTATCTACTTCTTGGTAGCTCAAGGTAATATCGAAAATTTTACTCAAACCCTCATCAATTTCTGTTTCCATGAGTTAATAACGGAAACTGGTTAATCGGTTTTGGCAGCGAGATGAGGCATCTTCCGTTAAGCGGTAGGGTCCTTTCCTCATCTCTCCTTGTTGGTTTTACTACATCTCTCATCCTTTTCTGCAGCCACTTTCATCAGGTTGGTTAATTAAAAAGGCGGTCTAATGATTCCTGAAACGACCCGCACAATACTGATTACGTTTACATTCTACAGGTGGATGGAGATTTAGCTGTGGGGAAATATTCACCTCTGGTACAAATGTGAAAAAACTCAACAAGGTTTAATATGAATATGGTGATTTGTGTTTATGATTTAGAGTTTTTTTTTTTTTTCGTTTACACAGGTTCGGTTAGGGACTGAAAAAGGAGCTTTTGTTGTGAGATGGGCTATTCGTTTGCTATATTCAATGCTTCTAGTTCTTGGTTTAAGCAGGATTTTGCCACTACCTTGCACAGTAAGTTAACAGATTTGAGAACATGACTGAATTACAAGAACATATAACTAAAAACTCTTTTAAGTTTGTTGTTGGGTTTGGGTGTTTCAGTTGATGTGTTTCCTGACATTACCAATTGGGAATTTGGTTTCAAGCTATGTCGAAAAGCACCACAAGGTAAGAATTTAGAATTGGACAATGTGATACAAAGTTTTGCTAATCTAATCTTTAAATGCAGGATAATGGGAAGATATTCATGGCCAAGTATTACTGTGTGAGACTCCACGCATTGTTTGGAGCCGCACTGTCGTTGGGACTCGTTATCGCTCGCTAAATTTCACTTACCAAACATTTGTTTTTCTCTTTTTCCAAAAATAAACAAACGTTTACTTATGAGCCACTACAGTATGTTGTAGCCAAAAGGAAACATTCGAACTTAGAAAAGTTGTTAAAAGGTCTCAAATCACAAGCATGGTGAGCGAGTATATTCTCTAGGTTGAATTTGGATGTGTCAATTGTTAGGCCAAGTGACGGATATCACCATGGATATGTTGAAAAATGGGCCATGTCGGATTTAGTGCATGTCCCTTGACGTTATGGTTGTAGATGTAAATACATATATAGGGTCTAAATGGTAACCGAGGAATCTGGCTGAATCCGGTTGAATTGCTGAATCTGGCAGAATTTTTAGTGATTTTTAGCTGAATCTGGCTGAATTTTTACATTTTCAAATGGTAACCGCTGAATCTAGCTGAATTTTTTTGTGATTTTAGCAGAATCTGTCGAAATAATTAAGACTTTAATTGAAAAATATCGTCAAATGATTATAAATATTAATATAATAACTAAGAAAAATATCTAAATAAAATAGATAAAATCATCTAATACTAATAGTCTAATTAACTCTTATACTATAAATAAATACTATAATTCATATTATTATTAAAAATATATTGTTAGCAAAATTAAGTTGTTCTTCCAAATTTAATTTTTTGAACTATGTAATTAATTAATAAAAAGCTTTGTCAAAGTTTTATTGAAAATTTAATTGAAAAATAATAATATAGTATAGATTATCTAACTGATTGTTAATTGTTCTCTAGTAGTTTAAAATCATTAATATGATTAGGATGATTAAGAATTTTTTTTAAATTTGATATTTTAAATATTTATTTTAGCATAAGTATGAGTTGTTTTTGCGAAATTTTGAAAAAATATATTTAATTATCTAAAAGTTATTTGAATTATCTAAAGTTATCTACAGTTATCCGAACATAAATTCGTCTCTTGTCTATTTTGATAATGATTTTATGTATCTGAATTATTCATATATCGTATTTGTATGATCTGACTTATTTTAAAATATAAATTTGATGTGTAATTTTTGATATCCAAAATATTTAAATTCGAGTTGTGTAATCGCTATAATCCGAATTTTTACCTGAAATAAACATACTACATATCTTTTGGTGTTGAAAGAACTGTTGAATGTAGCTAAATTCAGCTGAATTTAGTTTTATGCAAATGGTAACTGTGGAATTGCTGAATCTGGCTGAATTCAGCTGAATATTTTTTCGATGTTACCATTTACACTCATAGATAGATGTGGGGAAAAGGGGATTTTTATACCCGTACTATCGGGACCGTGGATTTTTATACCTCGACATTTTTGTAGTGCATTTTCCAACCCAAACTGAAATAAAATTTGAATTTCATACCTGTATTTGACAAATCGTGCAAAAAACGGAGTCAATCTAACGGGTGTTAGTCAACTCCGTTATGATGCTGAGTCATCGTACACGTGTACGCTGACGTGTTTCCCATACGACGTCGTTTTGATAATTGTTCTCAAAAGTTTAATTTTTTTTGCAAAATCGGGGATTCGAACCCGTGTCCCTTGGCCCAACATCAAGTACCTTTACCAATTCATCCCACAACTCTAATCGAACATTGCCCAATCATTTTAAGTTATAAACCTTAATAGTTGTGTGTTTGGAAATAAACCAAACGACGTCGTTTTCAAATACGAAAAACAATTTGGGGCATGAAAAACAAAAACTACTATTTTTTTTTGGCTAATTATGGGACATCCAACATTTTTATTTATTAATTATTTTTAATTTTTGGACATTGTTTGAAAATTATGGGATTTTTTTTACTAAATATGAGACCTTTTTTGTTAATTATGAAGATTTTTTTGCTAATTTTGTGGATTTTTTTTTTGCTAATTTTAGAGCTAAAAAAAAAAACTTATCACAATGGACCTCAAAATTTGTGAGGCTTAATATAAATGTTTCCCACAAATTGGTTAAGAGTCGGACCTACTGTTTAGATCACTTTTTAGAATACTGGATTAATCTAATCAATTATATATATATATATATATATATCACAAAAAATGTGCGTGCACACATATACTGATACATTCTTTATATATATATGCCACAGTTAGTTTTAAATATTAGTTTTAATCATGCTCCAAAGTTGAACTTATTCGATCTTTTTCCAGGAATTGCACATCAAGGATTTGACTGGATCAAGACATTTATCAAACCAAGAAAAAATAAACTGATTAAAAATATTTGCATATTCGGAGAGAGAGTCTATCTGTGGGCTGCATCTCCCCCAGATGATTAGTCTGGACCCCTTCATAAGTCTGAGATTCCCCTGAGTTATAAAAAAAAAAAAAAAAATGGAACCGAAGGGCTAAACGGTCATTCGCCAACCAACGATCGAATTGACAATGGAGTTAACTTCACGCCTCACGGGAACGTTAGGAAAAGAAAAACAAAAACACAACAAATAAATATAATCACGAGCATGTCTTCGCTAAAAGACGGCATATAGAAATATAAGAACGCATATATTTAGTTTTGTAAAGCCATACGAGAAAACAAAAGAGATTAAATAAAATCTAGAAGAAAGTCAGAAAAACAATAGCCACATGAAAAAAAAAAATCTGTGCAGATTATCGTTTCTATGTCTCGTATTCGTTAGTTTTATACTTTTATTACTTCATAATTTGATGTTTTAAAATGAAATTCAACTTCGGAATTAATCATTCAGTTAGTATGTGAAACTATTCAAAAATTTTACCAAAAACTCAAAAACAATGAAAACATTACTTTGATAATAAATAAAAAAGACTCCAACTATTAATTAAGTTTGTAAATTTTAATATCCAAACTATTATAATACTTTAGCAAAAAAAAACTACGTATTATAATAAACTATTGTAATAGATCTTTATGGGAAAACTTCAAATCGTTTTTGGAAAGTTGTCAAATAAAGATTCTGTTAAAATACATAGAAAACTGTCAATTAATTTAGAGCAAAACAATAAACGGTGAAGTGATGATTGGTTTTTTTTCTTTTTGGTATAAACGATAATAAAGTACACACCGTGTATATCAACAAATGTGCACACATGCAGTTACGTGTAGTAGTTAGTGTATCATACACTCATACATAGAATATATTACTATAAATGTTGGAATTTATATGAAAACCTCGAAGACAGGTAACGCATATTGGCATATATAACAGATTACCTGTTTTGGCGTATCAAGAAAGTGGGTACGGTCCACATATATTTTTCGCATGATCAAGAAGATTGCCCAATACCTCAAAGAGTCGAGCTATGAAGTCAAAGGGCTTGTAATATTGTATATATATATATATATATATTCGTATTATCGTATATGTAACTTTATTATATTATTCAATTATTTTTCTGTTAGGAGTGGAACGACAAGGAAAATTCAATTAATTCCAAGAATAAAAAAGATTACCAATCAAGCTAGCTATGAAAGAAAACACAAACCCTATTGATAGAAACGATCATCACTAAAAAGATTTGTTACTTTTAACAAAAAAATATAAAAAAGATCTGTTTACAAAAAAAAAAAATATAGCTTACAATAAAATCCGTGTCTCATATCTACATCTAGCTAAAAACAATCTATACTTGGAATTTCTTTTAAGTTTGAACATATTCTGATTGTGGTGGTGGAAATATACACTTCTCTGTTTTAAGAAAAAAACAGTGCTAGTAAATGGTTGCATGACAAAATTAAACTAACCAATAAATTTATTAAAAATAAGCTAACCAATAAAAAATTTAAACATATGCTGATTGTGGTGGTCTAAATACTTCTCTGTTTCAAATAAAAACAGTTCTAGTAAATGGTTGTATGACAAAACTTCCGATTCTTCAAGATCCTTTAAAAATGAATTGAAAAAGGTTCTTGTTTTTTCTTTTCTTTTTCATTTCTTGTGTTATAAGAGCATAATTATTGGTAGTATCTTAGAAATAAATCTTAGAAATATTTAAGTAATATATTTGTAAAAGTGATAGTTAAGATATAGTATTTTTGGGTTAAGATTTTTGTGTGATTAATGGTAGATTCTTAACATGTGGTTCTTAAAAAAAAATATTAATAAAAAAATAAAATTTATAATTATAAAAAATTTAATAATTGTTGCAAATTAAAAAAATTAAAACATACATGAGATACAATAAATAACATAAAAACACAAATGTTTTAAACTTAATTTCTGGTTTTCCAGAGGCACGTGTATATTGTCCTTTTCAAGAGGTAGAGCAATTCTTCCACTCCCAATCCAATTCTTCGGAAAAAAACGAAGCAACTGACTTTTTTTCTTGTTTTGTTTTTTCTTCTCCCACTCATATCGCGACACATGTGTGCTTCTTAACATAAGAAAAATATCTTAGTTAAGATACAATCTTAGTTGGTTTGATTAATTATAATAGTTTTTAATGTTAAGATTTGGCTAAGATTTGGTCTAAGATATACCGATATTCATGCTCTAAGGGTTCTTGTTTCTTGTACTTAATTACTAATACGCCTCGTGTAGCAATGAACAGTACTAGCATTTTATGAATTTAATGAGAAAGGAACATTAGAAAGTTTTGAAAGCATCTTGATTTGTGTACATATACAGACACACACGAATATGTGATGATGCCCCATGGGATCTATCCCCTCACTCATATTCACACATGCGACTAAAGTTTAATTTTTATATTCTTCTTATTAGTACAGTGTTAATAGCGTTTGTGTTTTCTTTTGTCATCAGAGGCGTTTTTGTTTCATAATAATTTTCTAAATTTGTTTTAGAATATAAGTCTACTCTTATACAGTAGAATTTCTTTTATAATTTTCAACATACTGTAGTATCATATATTACTTTTTCTATTACTTTGGCTGGTATGCAAGGGATAGGAATTCCTCTTCTCCAGGTATATAATTTTTTCTTATCAAAGGTTTTTTTTTTGTTAATTGAAAATTTTATTCGGTATAATAGAGATGGGAGAAATTACTCTCAATTATTCCCATATCATGACCCACCAGTCATAACCTTTATAATAATATAATATCAACTTGGAATATATGATCTTGTATTTTTAAGAGCTAATAATGTTACAAACTTATAGAACAAACTACTAAAGCCAACTATTCTTTTAATAAGAACAAAGGTATAAATTGTGTTTTCTCTCGTGTATAGTGGATTTTTTTTTTTTCATTTAAACTATTTGTCAAATTGACCCTTAAATTTTTTATTATGTATGTGTTG